TGGCGGCACTGGCGCGAGGTGCGTGGGCTCAGGCGGCGACGCGCCGGGGTCGGTCGGTGGCTCGGTCCGTGGTTCTGGGGGACGGTGGGGGTGGAGGGGGTTCTTGCCAGGGGCGTCTCGTACCTTTGCGAGGCGGCGCAGGTCTCGCGCGCTCGCGCCTCTCGCGCCTTTCGGCCGCGGGGGTTCGTAGAGTGCGCCAGGCAGCGTAGAGGGCGGGGGAGCGTTTGTGTATAATCTTCTTGGCGTTTGAGCCGCTCGTACTAGAACATGAGTGCCGCGCTGTGTCGGCGAACCCCGAACCGAAATCGTCCGAATATTCATCGTCACAAGGCTTCTTTGCGTCCGACACTAAGGGAGGGGTCAGCAAGTCAGGAGCGTCCGCAGTCGATTTCAGCGCGCGCTTCAGCTGCTCAACCTCGCGCTGCATCGTGCGAATGCGCACCGCCGCGTTCCGGTCGCCTTCCTCATCCTCCTCGCCCTCCTCCTCGCCCTCCTCCTCGCCCTCCTCCTCGCCCTCCTGGTTTCGGCGGGTGGCCCTTGGCCTTGCGGATCTCGACGATCTCGCGCTCAAGATAGGCGAGGCGCGATTCGGGATCCGAACTCGGATCGTGCGTAGCCGACCAGCCGAGAACCGACTCGAGCGAGCCAGTGTCGCTGTCCTGCGTGAAGCCGATGATTCCGGCGTGGAAGTGAAGGTCGTACTGCGTTCCGAAGTACTCCCAGTCGCACGGCACGCTCGAGATCGTCGCCGGGAAATCGGACGATTCAGGGCCGTGGAAAAACATCTCCGCCCACGGCCGGAGAATGTTGGCTTGGCCATTCGCGAGGTAGGGATAGAGGATGCTGATCCAGCCGCTGATGAAAGAGTGCGAGCCCGAGCCACCGCCGCGGTGCTGCGCAGCTTCACCATCGTCTGCCAGAACGAAAAGTTGACCTCGCCGCGGTAGCTGTTGACGAACTCATCGAGGACTGGGAGCAGGCACGCCATCCACTTGTCGCGGAACTCCGGCATCATCTTCTCCCCAAGCGCCTCGGCGCGCGCACGGAGCGCTGCCAGTCCTCGAGCGTCCCAGTGAGCGTGATGGAGGGGATGCCGCACATGGTCCTGCAACCGAAGGAGAAGTAGTTCTCCATCGCCGCCATAAGCGTCACCTCTGAGGCCGCGCGCGCGCCGGCGTTGGTCGTCGAAAAGGCGCCGGCGATCGCGTGGTGTGTCTCATCGCCGATGTGCTCGCGAATCTGCCTGCTAAACTTGGGCCATCATCCGGCCCGCTGGGTGCGCTTCTCTTAGCTCCCCGGCCCTGGATGTGAGGCTAATGACCCTGCACTCCAAGTGCTCCAAGCTCTTGGTGCTCCTGGCGGCCGTTTGAAGGGCGGGCGCGCGCCGATGGGGGGTGGGTGTGTCTTGCTTGCTCCACACCGAGCGCCCACGGTCCGGACCGGCGTGGTCACCGAGGGTCGGCTTGCACAAGGTCTGTGCCGCGGGCGCTCGGCGCCAAGTGCAGTGTCACGCTGTTCATCAACAAGCGGTTGCGCCGCTTGGACCCGAGCATAACCCTCCCTCCACCTACCCGTGTCCCGAAATGGGCAAAAACGGGGTGATTTCGGTCATCCGTCAAAATATCTGAAGATCCTACTATAGGATTCTCCCCAAACCTTGCTCAGCTGATCCAGCCTGGGGGGAAGGCCAGGCCTGGGCAAAGAAACCAGTACCTCATCAGGCTTCCCTGAGCGTCACAGCTCGGTGATCGCGCCGGCCGGACACCACTGTAACGTCCGTTCCGGGCATTTGAACGCGACCTTCGGGGGCAAAGACATGGGCTCTATGGCTCAGACTGGACTCCTCTTGGTCCCTTCTGATGCCCTAGGCCACACCTGGGCCTTACCTGGGGTCCTAGGGGCCGGGCAGGGTTTGCCCCCCCCAACTGGCCCGGAGAACCTTAATAGTACAAACCCAATGGTCCCTTGCGAGCGGTCCTTCGTTGCGGTCGCACACACGCACACGCCACGCCGCACCGCGCGCCCACCCACTGCCCCGCCCAGGCGGGAAAGAGATGAGGAGATGGGACAGCAAAGGAGGAGCCCAAACACGTATGGGAGGGTTCAGTTGTGCGCCACGCTGCCCGGCGTCTCTCACTTTCCGGGACAGCCCCGCCCTTTCGAGGCGGGAAAGTGACGGCTACCCCGTACGCCCTGTTGCATCATACCCCATCGCCGACCGCCCATCCCCCCTCCTCGTTCCCGCCTCGAACTCTCCGGACCCCGACAAGCCGCCCGACGTTGGGCCTCTGCCCCGCACGCCCCCGCCCCTTCTGCCCCTCGCTCGCACCCCGGCCCGACACGCACATACAAGACAAACCCGGCGTCCTGCTCTCAAAAGAAAAAGAAAAAAGGGAATGAGGAGACCAGCGGGGGAGACTCCCCGCCTATGCAAGCCCCAGAGAGGGGCCGCCATCGCCGAAGCTGTGCCAAAGCATAACTCCAAAACCCGCAGCGGCCCAGGGGGCCTTGGGGGCAGCCTGCCGGACCGCCGCTGCACGGGGCTAGGCACCAGAAAATGAGTGGAATTGATGAATTGGGCCGTTGTCCGTGCCTCCCCTCTATACGTCAGAGTGGGACCTACGCCGCGCCGGGTAAGGGGCGCGCCCGGTCCTCGACGGAGCCGCGTGCCCCAAACGACCCAGGCGGCGAGTAGTCGTCCTCGAACCTTCGACATGTAGTTGCCCATAGTTAGCGCCCGCCCGCCCCCCCCTCCGTCGCTTCGCAAAAGAAAAAAACAAAATAAAAACAAGCGAAAGAGAAAGCGAAGCCAAAAAACGATTGCGTAAACGGCGTCACAAAGCCCGCCGGTTTTGATCGACAATCGTGAGATTGACCGCCGTCGACCATGGGCTAAAGGCGACGACGTTAGGAAGTGTACAGCGCCGAATCCGACAGGCGGACAGCCTCTGGCAAGAGAGTAGGCACGAACGATGCCTGTGCTGGCGTGGCTCGCTGCTGTGCCAAGCCGCTCGCCTCTATTTGCTAGCACCAGCAGCTGCCCCGAATGCGACCTCTCTGGTCTCGGCTTCACGCCGTGGGCCAGCGGCTCAAAACCCTTTTCCTTGGCAGAGTGGCGGGCTCTCGTTCCAGAGCCACACGATCAGATCAATGGCAGGGTCCCGCCAGGCATCCCGATTCCCACAAACTCGACGCGACTCAGCGCACAATTGGTCAATGACGTGTGCTTCGTCAACTGGTGGATTCCAGGGCGGCCGCGGGGGTACCGCACTCCCATTCACGTCCACCCGCGGCCACAGACAGTGTGCGTCGTCAGCGGCGCAGTCATGACCATCGCTGATGGTATGCCGGATGAGCTCCACACAGCGGGCGAATGCTACTTGATGCCAGCGATGACAAAAATGGTGAACCTGGCCGTCGGAAATGGCAGCGACGGCATGGGCTATACCGATTTTGATACCTTTCGCGTCCCGCTTGGCGAGCCCGAGTGGGTGGTAGTTGAGCCGGGCCCGATTTTGGCGGCGCAGGACCTGCAGTTCGTGCGAGACTGGCATAACTCCTCGAGCTGTACCATGTAAAAGTCAGATACGCTCAAGCTCGAGACGCAGTCCTTGGGACAGCGACGACTGTGCTACCGTGACCATAGAGGTCGCCCGTGGGGCAAGGTATGAAGTGTATGGGCGTCTGTTTCGCATGTGTGTTACTCGTATGATATGTACGGACTAGCCGGTACAAAAATTCCCGCAATAAAGCTTCATATGGGCCCGAACGGAGCTCTGGGGAATCTCTCATGTCCTGAGAGCCCGGTGTGATGAGACATCACCTCGTGCCGGCACTTAAGAGATACTTTTACTCTACTTTATACCTATTGTATCTGGCATTGTATCTGCATTGTATCTGGAATTGGCCGGATACAATTGTATCTCGCTGTATCTGTAGGTGCCCCTTGTTGTATCTCCCATGTAGGTTTAGGAAGGTGTGACAGGGAAAGGTATTGTACCTGCATGTGGCCTCTTGCGCTAGGCTACCCACCTTATGCGAGGATAGGCCTCGGGCTATCGGGCTATCTCGCGGTTCTCGGCTCTCTCGCAGCAAACGTCAAAGGTCAAAATTGGACGGCACGCCTTGTGGCCCAATTGACCTTTGACCACTCTCGCCGCGAGAACTATATTTCTACTAACTGAGGTGACCGACTCTCAAGTAAGGGGATGCAGTGGGCGGCCTAACACGAGGTGTACCGTAGTGCGCCGCCCACCCGCCTCTGATGTGAAAGCAAGGGTACCGCTAAATTTTTCGGTTTTCAGGTAAACGCCTCCTGCTCCGCTCCGCGCAGCTACCAGCTTCAATCACTTGGGTGGTGACCTCCGGCGCTTCGACGGACTCGATCTGCGCACCAGTCGCGTCGGAGAGCGCTTCTGGCGTCACGTCGGCAAGGGCATCGCCGGCCGACTCGGCGCTCGCCTCGGACGCCAGCTCAATTTGCGCGGTGACCTTGACGCTCGCGGCTTGCACGGTGAGGGCGATGGCGTCCGGAGACACGTCGATGCTCTGCTCGAGCAGGAGGAGCACCAGGCCGAGCTTGTACGCCGTCTGGTTGAATGTGGAGACGTCGCCCGCGACCACGCTCTCCATTGTCACCGCGTAAACGTACGTCGCGTCGGGCGGGAGTGGCGGGAGTGGCGGGAGCAGCGGCGGCGGCGACGGCGAGGGCCGTGATGGCACTGGAGGAGAGACAGGCATTGGCGACAGCAGCGGCGGGGGCAGCGGCGGGAATGGTGGTGGCGGCGATGGCGGCGGTGACAGGGGCGGCAGCGTGGACGGCGGCGGCGGCGATGGCGAGGGCGGTGGGGGCGAGGGCGAGGGCGGCGGCGGCGAGGGCGAGGGCGAGGGCGGCGGCGGCGAGGGCGAGGGCGAGGGCGGCGGCGGCGAGGGCGAGGGCGGCGGCGGCGAGGGCGAGGGCGGCGGCGGGGACGGAGGCGGCGGCGAGGGCGAGGGCGGTGGAGGCGAGGGGGATGAGCGGGCCCAAGGTGCGGCTCGACCTCGGATTCTCCCTCCGCGTGCCGGAGGAGAGCTTGCAGGTTGCGCCGCACGGCATCATTGGCCAATCCTTCGACGGCGACGGCATCGGCATCAGCGGCGCGCGCGATCCGGCGCCACGCGCGGGCGCCAACCTGAGCACGACCGCGATGGCCGAGGGTGCGATCGAGGGCTCGTGGCGCGACTACGTCATGGCGTCAGAGTACGACACCGCGTTCAAGTTCTCGCGGTTCGGGGCGGCGTTTGCGGCCCCGCGCAACACGACGGCGCTCACCGGCGAGCGGATCCGCTCGCTGGCGAACACAGGCTCCGCCATGGCCACCGAGAAGTATTAGGTGAGGGCTTGCAGGGCGTGTGGGGATGGGGGAGAGGGGCGGGGGCTGGCACGAGCAGCACGTGGCCGGGGGTGCCCCGAGGCCCAGCTTCATGTCCCAGCTCGCATCGGTGACGGTGTGGTGTGGTGGCGCCAGCGAGCAGCACGGACACACACACACACACACACACACACACACACACACACAACAGTCCCGTGCCCAGTGTCGTGCGAGGGACGGAGGGCTTAATTGTAAGGGAGGTTATTAGTCCCGCTATGGATATGTTTAAGAGCCACTAATATGCACGAATTGTTGCATGTTGGCCACCTTATCGTATGCAGCACATGCCTCTCCACACCTCCCGTGTATCGATAGCGCAACCTTTTAACTTCACAGACCGCGGCGGAATCCGGAAAAAAATCTTCTTTTGGTGTGTGTGCACTTCCACTTGGACACTTGAGCAAAAGTACAATGCCCCCACAATAGTCTGGCCCGGTGGGCTCAACACGCCGGATGCGAGGCCGAGGGCACTACAAAGGGCGACGCTGGTCGCTGCCTGTTCTCTCTTCTCTCCAGTCGCACGCGCCCCCCAACCGTGTCCTCTGGAAAGCACCGCGCGCGCCAAGTGCTACGGCGGCTGCGGCGAGGCAAGCGGCGGCGGCGGTGGTGGCTGTGGCGCCCGGTCGGGCGGAGCGGGCTGCGGCTCTGGCGCCTCCACCAGCTGCTGCAGCGGCCGCTGATCCTGCTGCTGCTGCTGCTCCTGCTCGGGCGGCCGCGGGCCCGGCGGCGGCGGCTGCGACGGCTCCGCCCCCAGCGGCGGCGGCGGCTGCGGCGGGCAGGCGGCCGCCTGGCGGGACGCCTCCCCGCCGACGCGCCCGCCAGGGCCGGGGTTGGACGGAGGGTCGGGCGGCGGCGGGCCGGGCGGCGGCTGCTGCTGGGCTTGGGCGTGGTCGTGGATGCTCGCTCGGAGGTCCTCGTCCCAGCCTAGCAGCCGAGGCGAGCTCGAGGGTTACATCTCATTCTCTCCCATTCAAATTCTGATGTTCCATTACTATATTCTAGCCTAGCAGCCGGGCGAGCTCGAGGACGCCCGCGTCGCAGTCGCCCTCGAAGAAGGCGTCGCGGTGGTTCGCCTCGTCGCCGTGCAGCATCGCGCGCGGGTCGCGCAGCCCGAGCATCCGCACCATCGGGTCCGCCTCGCCGACGAGCTCTCCTGTGGTACGGGCGTGGACGAGTCACGGAACGTGTCCTGCACCGCCCCCTCCCCCTCGCCGAGCAGCTCGCCTGTGGACAGGTCTCGGACATGTCTCGGACATGTCGTGGACAACCCTCCCCCTCGCCGAGCATCTCGCGGTTCAGCAGCAGCCGCGGCGTCGCGAGGCCGCACCTGTGGGGAGAGGGTAAGGTAAGGTAAGGTAAGGCAAACTTCTCCACACACACGAGGTGGTGGGGCAAGGGGGGGCGACCTCGCGTCTCCACGTCTAACGACAGGAGCCCCACGGCATTAAATGTGCAACGGTGCGCGTGGGTGGGGAGAGGGGTGTCCGGAGGAGGGCTCAGAGACGCGGCCCCAGAGACGCGGCGTGCGCGAGGGCGCGGCACCGGCCGAGCACGACGCGAAGGGGTATAAGGGGGTACAAAGGGGTATAGGGGTATAAGGGGTATAAGGGGCGCAAGGGGCACACGGGGGCACACGGGGGTGCAAGGGGGTACAAGGCACCGGCCGAGCAGAGACGCGAAGGGCTGCACCTTGAGCGACGTGCCCATCACGATGAGGGCCTGCTCGCACACCGGCAGGACGTGACGCGGGCCCCGCCGCCTCTCCGCCCGCCGGAGCCGACGCCGCGAGGGCGCGCCTCCGCCGCAGGCAGGTGTAAGGGGGTATGAAGGGGGTATAAAGGGGGTATAAGGGGCGATGGCGCGCCTCCGCCGCAGGCAGGTCGGCCTCGGCCGCCTCAAAGAAGCGAGCCGGCAGCTGCTCGCCAAAGAAGACGATGTCCGGCTTGCAGAGCCCGCCGTACCGCTCCGCCAGCTCCGCCCAGCCTCCCGGCCCCTCGCGGCCGACCGCGACCGCCCGACGCACCTCGAGGGTTAGGAGGGGGGGGGGGGAGGGGTCAGGGGTCGGGGTCGGGGCCAAGCCCACCCCTTTGCGCATACTCGACGCTTGGGTCAATCCGCTCCCCCACTCGAGCTGGCTCTCAGTGAGGGCCGGGTCCACCCCCGGCGCCGGGTCTCGAGAGACCTCCTCGGCTCCGTGCCACGCGCTCTTACTGAGAGCCGCTCGCACCTCCCCGCCGCGCGGGGACCTTAATTATGAACTAGTAATGAGTACTGATGAGTTCAGGCGCACCTCGCCGAGAGGGACCGGCTCGCCCGTCTCGATGCAGTGGCAGCCGTCGAAGTTGCCGTGCGCGGCGATGGTCAAGTCGGCCGGCAGCCCGGCGCGCGCCTCGAGCGAGTCGATGTTTTGCGTGAAGCAGCGGCGCAGCAGCCCCTTCGCGTGCAGCAGCGCGACAAAGTGGTGGGCGGGCGTCGGCTGGAAGTTGTCGGGCCACATCTCCCTCGCAAGGAGGTAGAAGGCGTCGGGCCGCTCGCGAAAGTAGGAGAGCTCAAAGATGGCCTGCGGCGACGGCAGGTCGTACTTTTGCAGGTTGTCGTACAGGCCGGTCCCGGGCGACCTGAGTGTTGAATACGCCAGCTTCAGGGCACGAAGGCGGTATTGTGCAGCGTCTTCGAGAGCACCGCGTGAGTACAACGGAGAAGAATACAGTGCATACAGCGGAATACGACCGAGTACGGCGGAATACGTGTCCTCTCGGGCGCTAGTTGGGATACATGAACACGTATTCCGCTTCTAGGCCGGGCAGACCGAAAGTCCGGGATGCCGGCCGACACGGAGATGCCGGCGCCGCAGAGGACGACGACCGACCGCGGCGGGCAGGAGGCGAGTCGCTGCGCGAAGCCGGCGATGTCGAAGGACGGCAGCTGCGCCGGCCGCGCCGGCGCGTCGCGCATCTCGTACCCTCTCGCCAGCAGCGCCTCACGCAGCTGCGCCACCATCGCCGCCTGCCGCTCCTCCGACTCCTCACCGCTCCCCTCGCCGCTCCCATCGTCGCCGCTGCCCTCGCCGTCACCGTCGCCCTCCTCGCCGCCCTCCTCGCCGCCTTCGTCGAAGCCGCCCAAGTCAGCTGTGCCCTCGCCGGGCATCGGCGACGCGGGGAGGTCAAAGATGCCGTCGCCGTCCGCGTCCGGCAATATCGCCGCAGCGGCAAAGACGTCCTCCTCGCCGTCCTCGCCGATCGCCGAGGCCACGGACATCGCATCCGTGTCGGAGTCGGAATGCTGCATGTGCATGTACACACACTCGGGTGTGCGCGGGGGCTTTCGTGAAGCGTAAAAAAGAAATTTACGCAAAACTCCCTCGCACAACACTGGGCACGGGACTGGCGCGTGGCACTAACAAAGAATTTAAACTCGCCCTTAAAAAGAATTACACCAAGACTGAAGTCCCGGCGGTGTGACCGCCGCGCGCGCCGCGTGGTGACCGGTGAGCGGTGTGCGTATGACTATTTTTTCTATGCGGGCGCTCTCACAGTACACAGGAGGTGAGTCTCACAAGCTCGCTGCCAGAGAGGAGGGGCGGGGGCCGGCACCGCCACGCCACACCTCGACGAGGAGGCTCTAGTTTCCCCTCTCGCCTCTGCCGAGCACAACCTCCTCGCTCACGGAGGAGGGGAGGGCGGGCTCGGCGGGAGGCTCGGGAAGGTGTACTCGGCAAACACGAGGGCGGTGGTCAGCAGGGACAGCGCGACGCACACCCCCGTCGCCATCTGCGCGCGCCACGCGCCCGCCCCGCGAAAGTGCGACATGAGGCGCGAGGTGACGAGGGGCGGCGCCGTGCCGTCGCGGGAGAGCAAGTTCTGCAGCGAGGGCTCGGCGCCGCCGGCGCCGCGCCGCTTGAGCCGCATCTCCATCAGCCACTCGTCCGCCATGTCGCCGTCGTACTCGCGCACGACGCCGCCCGAGCGGACGAGCAGCAGCACGGCGCCTGGAGGGCGGAGGAGGGTGCGGCGGAGGAGTTCGGCAGGATGAGGAGGGGGGACGGGGCCTGCCGGCCGAGCGGGGGGCGGGCGGCGGCGCGCCGTGGACGGGCGGGTTGCAGCCGGGGCAGTTTTGGAAGTCGGGGTTGGTGAGGTGCGGGTGGTTGGGCTCCGAGTGCAGGTACTCGGCGGGGTCCCCAAAAGCGAAGCCGCCTAGAGGCGCGGCGTGCGCGTGTCGGGCGGGCAGCGAGGCGTCGGCGGCGCGGCGCGGAGGAGGCGCGGCCCTCGCGGAATCGCTCGCACGCCGCCTTGAAGGCGGCGGCGAGGGGGAGGCGGAGCGGCGCGCCCTTGGTCGCCTTGAGGTCGTCGCCGATCACGTCGTAGAATCCCTGCGCAAACTCGCGCGCGGCGGTGTCCTCGGTGATCGAGCTCCTGCGCTGACGGGCGGCGGACGCGTCGCTGGCGCGCGCAGCGGCCTCGGAGGGGGGGAGGGGTCGGGGGGGAGGGTCGGAGGGTCGGGGGGGAGGGGCGGCGCCAGCAGATGACGGCGATGTCCTGCGGAAGGCCCTCGACGATCGCCCGGCCGAGCTTCTCCGACTCGCAAGAGTTGAGGAAGACGCACCTACGCGCGGGGGGGAGGGGGCGGTGAGGAGGCGAGGAGGCGCCGCCGACGGCCGGCGGTGCTTGCAAGCGGCGGGCGCACTCGAGTCCGGGCGGCTCCTCGTCCGGCCGGTGGGCGGCGGCGGCGCTCTTACGCGCCGCGGTCGCCTGGCGCAGCATCGCGACGAACTGCGCATTCTTCTGGTCGATGTTGGACGAGTCGATGGCGCCGTTGGCCTTCTCGAACGCGAGCGCTCCTGGGGAGGACCGGGGGGGGGGGGGGGGGTTCGGAAATATCCCGGAAGGATGCCGGGGAAGACGCCAAAGGCCAAGGAAGGCCCAGGGGGGGGGGGGGGGGACAGAGGGGGGTGCCCCCCCAAGGGGGGGCCCCCAAAAAAAAAAAAAAGCCGGGGAGGGGCTCCTCCATCTCGCGCCGGCAATCGTCGAGCGTCGCGGCGGGCACCAGGGCGAGGTAGACCTTTGGGGTGGGGTGGGGTGGGGTGTGTGTGTGGGGGGGGGGGGTTGCTCAGCGGTCTGCACGGCAAGTGCGTCCGGTGAGAGGAGAGTGTGGCCGGTGTGTGTGTGTGTGTGTGTGTGTGTGTGTGTGTGTGTGTGTGTGTGTGTGTGTGTGTGTGTGTGTGTGTGTGTGTGTGTGTGTGTTGCTGGTGCACGGCAAGTGCGTCCGGTGAGAGGAGAGTGTGGCCGAGGGGTCGTGAGCCGAGTGCACAGGGGGGGTGCCTTTGGCACGGAGCGGAGGAGGAATCGCATCTCTTGCCCGAAGCGGAGCGGCTCGAGGCGCAGCGCCTTGCGCAGCTTTGGCGGCACGGTCGGGTTGGAGAACAGGGCGAGCAGGGCGGTGTGCTTGCCCGCGATCAGGTCGCGCTTGACGTCGCCTTCGCCCTGCAGCGCGACGGTCGTGAGGAAGATTTGGCGCTCGAACCGGTTGATCCGCCGAGCGCCGTAGAGCAGCATCAAGGCGACCTGATCACGACCCTTCCGCGGTGAGACAGCGCCGGCCCGAGCCGCCGCCGCCGCGGGTGGAGCCGTCGGAGCGCCAGCGGAGCGAAGAGGAGTGCGTCCACCACCCCAGCGCCGGCGGTGAGGCGGAGCCTCTCGTGCGCCTGGGCGAGGGAGCGCGACGCGGCTGAGCCTCGCAGGAGGCGTGCCGCCGCACCCTCCCCTCGCGGCAACTCGCTGCGGCGACTCCCCTCCCCTCCTCTGCTCTCCCTCCTCTCCTCCTCCTCTCCCTCCCTCCCTCCCTCCCTCCCTCCCTCCCTCCCTCCCTCCCTCCCCCCCTCTGCGGCGTCCCGCTGCGGCGTCTCTCGCGGCTGCGCCACGCGCCTCCTCGAAATCCGCATCACCCCATCTCTCCCCATATCTCCCCATATCTCGCGCCTCCTCGAAGTCCGCATCACCCCAGCCCTCCAGCTCGGCTTTCTTTCGCACATCGCGCAGCACGTCCGGCAGGGTGCGGAAGAGGTGGCACTCGGTGAGGAGGAAGAGGAGGATGACGAGGATGCAGTCAACCAGCGCCCAGACGTAGTCGAGGCACGACAGGATGCCTACTCCGACGGTGCAACCAAAGTCCGGCAAGGCGATGCCGAGCAGCAGCAGCCGCCGCGGCACGAGAGGGGTGTGTGCAGAGGAAGGCCGCCCAAGAGCCGAAGAGCAGGAAGCGCAGCGCGTGCCACGACTGGGCGGCGAGCTGCGATGCCAGCGGCGGACAGTCTAGGTACGACTTCTGCAACCTCTCGCAGAGAAGAAGCACGCCCGCGTCTGCCACCTCCCCACTCACCGCGTCAGTCAGCGCCGCCTTGAACACGGCGGCCTACGGGAAAGCTCCGGGAAGGTTCGCGGAAGGTTCGCGGAAGAGGCTCGCGGCGCCTGCTCGCGGCCTCGGAGGCGCGGGAGAGCGATCTGAGGTACATCTGGAAGGTGACGAGGGCGAACGCAGACACGACCAGCAGCCAGTTTGCCGCTCCTACGTCGGTGCAGAGCAGGGCCCACGCGGCGACGGCGCAGACGGAGCTCCAGATGTGCACGTCCGTGTCTTTGACCTGCACCCCGAGGGCGGGGTCGGGGTCGGGGGTGGGGGTACGTCCCCGCGCTCCGCCGCGGCGCGCGTGCGAGCTGGCGGGCGCGCGCCATCATCATCGACACGCCCGCCTCGAGCACGCCTCCCGCGCCGCGATGGTCGCTCTCAAAGTTGAGGAGCGACTGCTGGTAGATGGCGAGCGCGGCGAAGAGGAAGCCAAAGAGGAGGAGGACGCGCTTGATGTACTTGAGCTGGTGGTGCCGCAGATACTCGCAGAACGCCTCCTCCACCGACGCGTCGCCGAACCGATTCGTCAGCCAGCTCTGGCCCACGAGCCGGCGCATCCGCTTGTTTGCCTGTCGCGAGAGCGACTCGCCCATCCACGAGCTGAACTGCTCGTGCTGCACCGCGTTGGACGGCTGGTGCTTCACCATGGTGGTCGGCAGCGACCGCTCCGCGCCCGAATCCAGCAGCTGCCGCCCGCTGCTCACAGGGTAGCTGGTCTTCGAGCTGCGCTCGTCCACCAGATTCGACGGAGACTGATCAAACATGGCGATCGTGTTGTCGTCCACCTCTTCGCCGTAGACCATCGACTTGATGGAGGTCATCATGGTGCCGACAAACACTCGCACCCACGCCGGGGCTCCGGGTTCAGAGGGAGGTGGGTTCACGACCCTGGATGAAGCCGTGCTAGAGGAGGTACGGGGCATGGGGAGGGAGCAGCTAGTCCACGAATACCGCCGCCTCTGCATCACCGGGTTCCGTCTGACCACGGGCAGAGGACAAATGGCTGAGGGGCGCATTGGGGCGACGCCGACTCGCGTTATTATGCTTGAGACACTTGCAGGCATCGTCCGACGGCGCCACCGGAACGCCCTCCTCGCGCCGGAAGACACACCGGACGTGCGAGTTGACACGATCTACAACGAGGCGCGCCGAGCCCTAATCCGGACTTACGCCCACACCCGCCGCCGAGCTCTCGACGAGGAGAAGGCGATTCGCCTCCGAATCCCGGGCTGGCAGCCGTCGCCAGGGGAGGGGCCTGTTGCGGAGTGGGAGACGGAGTGGCTCGCCTCAGGATTCTTTTCCAGCGAAGGTGAGTGCGAGCTCCCCGAGAAGCTCGAATCTGTCCGAGGGGTGGCGGCAAACGGCTGCGCGGTGAGCACAGTCGCACTCCTCTGTGTAGCGCCTCAGGGTGAAGGGGGGGCATGCCGGGTCAAGCTGAGACTAATGGTCGAGGCACCAGGGGTCGTTCTTCGCCCACAGCAGCAACTGGCAGAGCAGGCGCAACGACGCCCGCCCGACTGGGTGGCATACACAGACGGGTCGGAAGACCTAGGGAAAGCAGGATGGGCCTATACAGTACTCATCGGGGGCGACGCAATCGGCGATAGGGGCGCGTCGCTGGCGAGCGAGGGCTACGGGCCAGTTGTCACTTCGGCGGCGCACCCAGCCTACCTCGGCGCGCGAAGGCAGACCAACAACACGGCGGAACTAACCGCCCTAGCCGAGCTCCTCCGGGCTCTCCTGTCCTCGTCACCGCAACGAGCGGGCTCACGCGGAGTAGTGCGGACCGACAGCGAGTACGCGGCGGCGTGCATGATGGGGAGGGTGACCCCCAAAACGAACAGACAGCTAGCGGAGCGCCTTCGTTCCCTCTGGCGACGCCTTCGCGCCAAACACACCGTGACGTGGAGGCATGTGGCGGGTCACAGCGGCAACAAATGGAACGACTACGTCGACGAGCTAGCTGCTCGCGGCAGGCAAGGTGACAGAGGCTCAAACGCTGCCGAGTGGGCGGACAACACCATCCCGACGGACACTCCCGACGAGGGGAGCGACACGGAAGGACCCGCCCCCGCCCCTCGGGGCGGGGGCCCCCGCCCCCCCGGGGGGCCCTTTGGGGCCCCTCCTATCCAGGGGGCGACCCCTCCGGGGAGGCCGGCCTTCCCCGTGCCGGTCCTCCCCAACCAACCCCGCCGGCAGCGCGAGCTGCCGGCCATATTGAGCGGTTCAACCGCGTCGCGCACTCGTCCCAACCGAGGGCCGCAGACTCGTTCTGCGCGCCAACGGCTGGTGACACTGTGTTGCCCTTGAGCTAGTCCTTCCCCGGTCGCCTAGCCTCTGCGCTGTCTGGCGGACGCCTGTATGCCATGCACGCGGACCACGCTTGCGTGGATACGTGGCTGGCAGGCAGACCCGTGTGCGGGGTAACCCGCGCACGGGGAAGCTTCACGGGTTCGAGCCGTCAAACATTGAGCAGCGGAGGTGTGCCGAGGGGGACCGGGAGGCGGTAAGCCGTCGTCGCCCGGCGCTGCATGCAGCACCGTGGCGATGGCGCTAAGAGGTTCCTCTTTTCCGCGCCCCCCCCGAAAGGCGCGCGATACAAACACGTAAACGCACAACCCCGGGCCCCGAAATCGCACAGTGATGACAGTGACATGCAACACGGGGTCCCAGGGAAGGCGAGCAAAAACCTTATCGCGCGCGCTAGACGCCGACTCGGAGGCCGCACCGGTCAGGCGCGGGTTCACTGTAGTGAGCCTCGGGCTGGAGGTTGCCGAAAGAAAGAATTTTTTTCACAACACTGGGCACGGGACTGGCGCGCACTGGCACTAACATACGTACACCACGGGAGCCGCCTAAGCGACTCCTGCGAGGGCGGCGAGGCACTTAGCTCCGTGCACCCGCCCACCCCCGCCACAGGCAAGCTCATTCACAACCTCTTCCTGCTCTGCGATTGCCGTGTGAAGAACGCCGAAGAAAGAATTTCGCATGATGCACGCGAGGCGCGGGCGACGGCTTCCTCAGAAGCCGTCGCCCTCACCACACAGGAGCAGTCACACCACTCCCATAGATAGGATACGCACACCCTGACAATTGCGGAGTCACCCCAGATCAGGAAATTTCTGGTTGTACAGCCGTCCTACAAACTCCCAGTTGTGGTTGTCCTTGGAAATTTCGTTCAAAACCACGTTGAAGTGAGTGCTCCCCGGCGAAATGGCGTCGCGGACAGCGTCCTTGCTCGTGCAGGTGCTCAGCTTGTCCGTGTAGCCCAGCGTGAAGTGCTGGGACCAAGATTTGAAGCCCTCCATCTTGGCCAGCTTGTCCTGGAAAATGGAAATTGCGTCACTCTTGTAGTGGGCAATGATGATGTTGCCTTTGCGGGGGTCTTTCACGCTCTTGTACTTGTACTCATCGCCAGCGTCGCATGACGCTGATGACAGCCACGTCAGCCCCTTCGGATTGTACATGTCCGTCCCAAACGCCGCTGCTTGGGCCACCTGTTCCTTGAGCGCGTCTTTGCCTTGCGGCGCAGAGTGTCCAACCGCCATTGTGGAATGAGCCACGTTGTGGTCGTACCCGCTCCAGTAGAGCCAGTAATCGTTCTGCCCAGACATCCCGCTGTTCCAGTCATGCCACGGGGCTGTGATGAGGACGTCGTAGTGGGTTGTCTCGCTCGCTGCGACGCTTGTGTTCAGCGCGGGCGCAAAGGCGACGCTTGTGTTCAGCGCGGGCGCAAAGGCGCGAACTGCAATGAAGTAGGGGAGCAAGATCGTGATCTTCATCTTGAGGAGGGTCGAGCCGAAAGGGCACCCTCTCCGAGGACCCAATTGGGTAGCTCTTTCGACCTCGCCGGGTTCTGCTCCAAGAGCGTGCGTGTGCCTCTACTCGCCAGGGCCAATGCTGCGTTAGTGTGCAGGAAAAGAAAATCCTGCTCCTATCACCAGCTTAGAGGGGGCGTTCTTCAGGAGGGTGAGTGTTCGAGTTGTTGAGCACTTGAGCACTGGATAGGGTCGATTCCGCATGGTACGGGACCCCTCGATCGTCTCGCCCTCCCTCACTGTGGTGTGTTCATTGGGGAGGGTCATAACAAACACGGTACAGGATCGAGGTGCACGCTGCCGAGGCAGTGTCGTCCCCCCTCTCCCCGACGGCGATGGCGGTGTGACCGATCGAGCTACTTAGAGTTGTTCTTCAGTTAAGGTCATTCACGGGTGTCCGCGGCCACTGGCTGTTCTTCACCTTTCTACCTACCTACCTTGAGAGTGGCCTGCCATGTCACAGGAAGGACTGTCGTTGCAGGAGAGTACCACCAGCCATCACTTTAGTTGGCAGTAGGTAGGTAGAAAGGTGAAGAACAGCCAGGCTCGGACTGGACACAGTTGGCATAGTACCCCACCTTCATCCCATGATTTCTTTTTTAGTTTCCCATAAGTAAGGTAGGTAGGTAGGTAGGTAGGTAGGTAGGTAGGGGCGGGGCAGGGGCCGGCCAGGTTGTTGCATAATTTCAGCGTGAGGTCCGCCCTAGCAAAAATAATACAATGGGAAAAGAATTCTGTGCCGGAGGGGGAGACACGCTGCTTTGTTGCTTGGGAGAGCGTCTGTCTCTCGTGCATCTCCAGATGGATGGGGGGGCAGCGGTGAGGCAGTCGGGACGGCGTGTCAGCCGCTCGCAGCCCTTTTGGGCCACGGAGGGAATTGGCGACAGCGCCACCAATACTGCAGCAGCACCAGCCGAGGCCGACTCGCCAGTCAAAGCGGAAGCCGCAAAAGCCGAGCCATCTTCTGGCGCCGCGGCCGCAGTCTCGGAAGCCAGCTCGCGGCGCTCCTCGCGGCGGAGCGAGAGTCTCGACGCCCAGATGGCGTGGATCACTCTCGAGGTGGACACAAAGACCGACGAGGACGACCCGACGACCCTCCTCGGCGTGCCTGCGGCGTTCGAGGGCAGCTCCTGCTTTGCCGGCGTGCCGCCGCACGAGCGCGCCTGGTGGCGCTTCTGGGTTCCACAGGACTGGGTGCCGCCGCTCCGGGTGGAGGTCAGGCTCCCATCCGGCCTGCTCGTCATCGCCCTGCCTCCCGCCGGCTCCGCCGGCTCGTACCTGCGCTTCTCCGCCCCCAAGAGCGAGCTCGTCTCCCAGAAAAGGGGGCCGGCCAAGCAGGACCTGCCCCGCTCGCCGGCGCGGGACCTGGCACACTGCGCGTACTGCCAGCGCACCGACTGCCAGTGCCCCGTCAAGAGCCAGCTCGGCAGGCGCCTCTCCTTCTCGCGCCGCAGCTCGGTGCGCCGCGTATGGCTCGACGACCGAGGGCGAGGCGAGCCGCCCACATCGCTCTCGCACCTAGGCCAGCACACTGACACGGCCCCTCTCCTCCATGCCCAGGCGAGTGGGCCAAGGAGCAGGCCGAGAAGAGCTTCGAGAAGGCGCTGGCCGCGACGGGCCTGCCGGCGCGCAACCCGTTCGAGAAGCAGCTCGCCGAGGAGGCGATGGCCAAGGGGAAGAGGCCGCCCACCACCTCCGGCTCTCCCCTCGCCGCCGCGCTGGCGGCACGCTCGCTGCGCGAGTGCGAGTCGCTCGCCGGACCGGCGCTCATCTCGACGCCGCTCTCGGCGGGCCCGTGCGGCGTCACCTTCCGCAGCCGCTCCGTGCCTCCGTCCGTCGAGGCGGTGACGTCCTCGAGCCAGCTCGGCGGCGTGCTCTCTCCCGGCGACGTCGTCGCCTTCATCAGCCTCGGTGGGGAGACGGAGACCGCCTGCGCCACGATGAACGGTGTGCTGCCCTCCCTTCCCCCCCCCCCCCACCTCTCCCTTTCGACTCCGTGGCTTTCCCTCGACCCTAGCACACATGCTGCATGCACATGCAGCATGTGCACATGCATACACCGTCTTACCGCAGGCGAAGACCTCGCCGCCGCCTTGCGGGCGCACGCGGAGAGCGGTGACCGAACCCTCCACTGGATCGCGGGCGGGTGCGTGCCTCCTGCCTCTCGCCGCATTATGCCAACTATGGTCTATGCCTCCCTCGAAGTCACGCATGGCCCCACTCACACACCGCAGGCGTGTCGCCGAGCTGCTGGCTTCCGTCGCCGAGCACGAGGTGCGCGACTCCGAGAGATGCTCACACGCCTCTCGATTTGCTCCCAGCTGCACACCACCCCTCCCGCCCCGGGGCCAACCCCGAACCGTGTTTAGGCGTCTTTGGTGACCGACATGGCGGCGCCCAGCTGGGAGGCGCCCGAAGGCGGGAGCGAGCCGACCACTCGGGTGCCAAACCTCACGCTCCAGTGGTCACGAGGGCGCCTCCTCTGTCACCTCTGAGCTGCTGGCTGTGTGTGGGAGCAGGTGGTGCTGCCCAGCGGGAAGAAGGCGACCCCCAACCATCTGCAACTCGCCCGCATCGGCGCCTTCGGGGGATGGCCGTCGGAGCGCGGGTGATGCCTGCGAGGCGCGGGTGTGCAGTCTCGCTTTGGATAGATAGATAGAAACCTTGGCGAAACGCCGAATTTCTACGTGGTGGACCTGTACCTGCTTTTGTTCCTGTAATGTGTAAAGAAAAAAGAAAAAGAAAAAGCACACTGAGATGTGAGAAGAAGAGGAAGGGATGGGGGACGGCATAGCGCATACACGCCGCCACCTCACATGGAACTGTTCGCGGCGCACACAGATGGGATAACTGTTCGCGGCATACAGACCGCAGACCCGTGGACCCAGAGGGGGAACACTTCTTACCGCCACCGCTATCTTGTCGCGGGTACCTCACGCGAGCGAGCCGTCGGGTAGCATCACGCCGGATCCTTGTGCCAAATCACTGACCCTCCGCCCTGTTTCAAGTGGGCAGGAACAGGACCTGCATCCGACGAATCGACGGTTTCTCTGGTAGGACGGGAACGAGATGCTAGTAGGAGTAGAAGGAAGCAAAGAGGAGAAGCCCCTCCCACCCGTGCTTGTTCACAGAAAAACTGCGGCCGCCAGCGACTGAGCGTCTCGCTGGCGGACGGGGAGAGGAACACAAAGGGACGTACGGTACGGACGTCCACCCACTGGGATGAGAGTACTGGAGAGATGAGGTCGAATCTGCTGATTCAACAGCGGGAGGTCGTCTGCACTGCTACGCATATGTAGTCGCCAGAATGCACGATCGGCCATGTTATGTAAATACGCGCCCGCGATCCATAGTACGTCGGCCAGACGTCGCGCGTGTTTCGGTGTCGTGCCCGAGCCAAGTGGCGCCTGAGGGAGCTACAAATGTCTTGCGTATATTACGAATCTGTCTTCTGCATCCACCTTCGGCCGATCGGGGTGTGCCTCTCAAGGCGCGCTACGCACCACGTATTACGCACACACACGCATTCCGGATTCGAGTGAGAAGTGGCGGCCGGCGGGGGTTACGCCTCACGCATTACGCATACGCTTGATGCATTCGCACGCCCAAGGTGTGTGTGGGAGCGAGCCTACGCACCACGTATTACGCACACGCATTCCGGATTCTAGACTGGCGAAGATTTGCAGTGCTCGTGTAGAATGAAGCACGAGCTAGCAGGATTGGTCGCAGCTGCGAGAGGGAGAGCTCGAAAAAGAATTTTACAACAAGCTCCCTCTCAGGAGGGATTTTAAAATACACCGGTTGTGCGCGTTGTCCCGCCTCGCTGTCGCGGCGGAGCAGCCTTTCCCTCCACTGGCCGCCGTCGTTGCGTCGCCTGGGCTTTGTGCCGTGCCCGACGATGAGCGCACCGGCAGTCGTCGCAGCCGCCGCTGGCTACGTCGCCGTGTGCTTGGCTGCGTGGCTCCTCGGACGGTCTGGCGCGGGCCCGCCTCCAAAGCGCACGGTGGAGATCGCGCGCGGTGTGCACATGCCGCTGCTCGCCAATGGCGTCGACACGGACCACCACGTATGGCTCGAGGCTGGTGGACGGCACCTCGACACGGCCTTTTTGTACGGAGACTGGAAGCAGCGCGCGGTCGGTGCCGCGATCGCGTCCAGCGGCCTGCCGCGTGGCGACGTCTTCCTCACGACCAAGGTGATGTGCTGCCCGACGCTGCGCTGCGGTGGCGTGTGCGAGGGCGGTACCACCGCTCCCGTCGCCGTGAACGCCGCGACGTACCGCAACGTGACTGCCCAGCTCGAGCACAGCCTCTCCGTGCTCGGCCTGCCTTCGGTCGACCTGCTGCTCCTCCACTTTCCAAACGCCTCCTAGACACCTCCTAGACACCTCCTAGTCACTTCCTAGGTCGACCTGCTGCTCCTCCACTTCCCGTGCGCGCGCTGGGCTGACACGGCCGCGGCGTGGCGCGCGCTCGAGAGGGCGCACGCCGCCGGCCACGCGCGCGCGATCGGTGTGTCAAACTTCAACGCCAGCCTGCTCCGCCGTCTCGTCAAGATCGCCGCCATCCAGCCGGCCGTCAACCAAGTCGGCTTCTCGATCGCGGGCCACCCGGCGGAGCACGGCGGCGAGAATGCGACCCGCTACGGCTGCCTCGAGGGCTCGCGTCTGTACGGCGCGGACGACGCCACGCTCCGCCTCGCCACCGCGCGTGGCATCACGACACAGGCCTACTCCCCGCTCGGGGCGATTAGCAATGTCGACGTGCTCGGCCGGCGGGAGGTGCAGAGGGTGGCGGCTGCGCACAGCCGCGAGGGCGGCGCGCGCAACTGGACGGCGGCGCAGGTCGCCTTTGCGTGGTTGCTGCAGCAGGGTATGGGCGCCGTGACTGCGACGACCGACGCGAGACACGCGGCAGAGGCGCTCGATGCGGCGGAGCTCCGCCTCACGCGCAGGGAAATGAGGTCCCTCAGCAGGCTCAGGTAAGTCCTCGCTTCGCGGTGTGGCTGGGGCAAGTGTGCGACCTGTCTAGCCGCGCGCGGAGCCAATGTCATCAAAAATTTGTATGTTACGTTTTTTACTCTGGAGACCAACGCGAAACAAAAGTCATGCAGTAAAAAATCTCTCTCTGTCGCGCTCTTCTAAGCCAAGGCGCAAAGCTGTGTGATGTCTGATGTCTGGAGGCTGCCAGATTTGTACTCCAAATCTGATATGGCCTAATCTGCGTATGAAGGTATGATGTGGCTCAACGTGGTGACTGGTGGTGGTGTCTCAGTCACCCCAGCACGGTGAGGTCCTCCTTCCACTGCTTACTAACTTTCTTCACGAGCTTCATGTCGCTGTAGTGCGACGGCGGGTGGCGCGCGTACAACGCCGAGATTGCAAGCGGCAGCACGAGCGACGCGAGCAAGTTCATGGCGATGGTCGTCGGCGTCTCGGGAAAGCCGGCGCGTAGGACCAAGTTGATGCCGACACCGAAGGCCAAAATGTGGAAGACGAGGCCGTAGACCAGGCAGAGCTTTGGGCGCTGCGAGTGGAAGATAATGTACAAGCCGAGCGGCACCATGACCGCAGATTGCACGCTCCCTGGGTTGTAGCTTCCGCTCAGCACTACTTGCAGCAGGTGGCCACCGAAGCCATTCACGACAGCGGTGCCCCAGTTGAGCGTGCTCGCAAAGAGAAAGCGGTCCGCGTCAATCGTCGCAGCAATCATGCAGCCGCCAAACCCACCCCAGATTGCGACAGTGTTCACCCACAGCGTCAGCTTTGGGTCGAGAGGGCAGTTGACATCGCCGCCGTTGCACGCCGCGCCGAAGAGCGTCGAACCAGTACCCTGGTTCATGGCCGGGACAAAGGCGTAGCGCCACCCACGCACGTCGTATGCGTGCTCCTCGCTCTGATGGAGGCAGTACATGGCAACCGCGAGCCACCCGAACCAGTGCGGGCCATGTGAGTGAAAGCGAGCCGCGAGGGCGCCGAAGCCAAAGAGCGCGAACGCCCACGAGAAGAACATCCAGTTGGCCTCGAGCCATGACGTTGCCGTGCCGTCGAGGTTGCCTGCAGCCAGCACCGAGGGCCCGCTAGCCGCGACGGGGGCCATCGCCGATGTTGCTCCGATCGGCCGATGTGAAGAGGGAAATAACGTGGGGGCCCTCAGCGGAGCTGGGAAGAGGACCGCCGCAAGCGGCGTGGCGTGGAGCGGTTGTGCATCCCTCCGGGGGCCCCTCTGCGCCGGGGAGGCGTTGTTGGAGGCTAGGACGCAAGCGTCCGTCGCCCTTTTTCAAACTCGGGGCCCACTCCGCTACGCTCCGACCCGAATTTGGAGGGCCTGAAAGTTTAAGGTGTTGCTGCGCAAAAGGGGTCGGACACAGGGCGCAGCTCATGCTAAGGGGAGATGGAGAGAACAACCACCCTGTCCCATTATTGCGTACACCAACAAACACCACAAAGCTCTCTCTCTCCTGCTCCTCACACTCAGGGGGCGGTCACGACTCCGAGTCCTGCCACGTTCAAAACCAGGACGGCGACAGTGATGGTGCTATCACGGGCATGGTCAGGGGAAAGTGGAGCGGGGGGGGCGAGCGTCAGCCAGCCAGGTGATAGTAGAGCAGGCGCTTTGTGGGTGGCGGTGGGCGGCGGCGCTGAGCAGGCGCTTTGTGGGTGGCGGTGGGCGGCGGCGCTGGGTGGCCGGCCGAATCGTTAGCTGAGCTCCTCCCTCAAGCTCGATCACGCATGACGCACGTAACCTGACAACGTCGGCGAGCTTCTGGATCAGGTTAGGTTGCTGGAGCACCTCCAACTCCTCCTCTGAGTCAGACACGCCAACGTCGACGACTGCGCCCTCCTCCTCCTCCTCCGATTCGCCGACTGCACCCTCCTCCTCCATGGGCTCGATCCGATTCCGCAGCGTGTCGTCCTCAGCGGCGGTGCTGCGCGGGAGGCGGCCGCGGGCACGCTGGGCTCGATCAGCGGCTTTCCCTCAGTTGCTCCGAAAGCACGGATTTGGCGGCCGTTCCTGGCTTCAATTTTACGGAATCTTGGCACCAGCAGAAGGCTTGCCCGGCGCACATCACGCAGTTCGTGCACGGTATACGGATTTTGCTATTTGTTCGTGTGGGGGTATATTGCAGATTTGTCAATGGTACCGCGTCTGCGACGCGGGCGCCTTGCGGGCAGAGCCCTTAGCCACCCTTTATATCTTGCGCGGTCAAAAAGTTGAGCGACTTATTATTAGTGTTCCCCGGGCCACTTTCGGGGGGCAAACCCTGCCCGGCCCCTAGAAGTAGAACCCCAGGTAAGGCCCAGGTGTGGCCTAGGGCATCAGAAGCGACCAAGAGGAGTCCAGTCTGAGCCATAGAGCCCATGTCTTTGCCCCCGAAGGTCGCGTTCAAATGCCCGGAACGGACGTTACAGTGGTGTCCGGCTGGCGCGATCACCGAGCTGTGACGCTCAGGGAAGCCAGATGAGGTACTGGTTTCTTTGCCCAGGGCTGGCCTTCCCCCCAGGCTGGATCAGCTGAGCAAGGTTTGGGGAGAATCCTATATTGGGATCTTCAGATATTTTGACGGATGGCCAAAATCACCCCGTTTTTGCCGACCGTCGGGAGGAGTTCGATGGGTGCCAGGAGGATCCAGAGAGCGATGAAGGCGCAAATTGCGCCGCCGAAAGTGGCCGTAGAGGCCAGGCCGTGCGCGTGGGCCGGTCGGGCCCGTCGGCCGAGCGGTGCGAACGGCCGGTCGCCCGCTTCGGGTTGGACCCGCCGGGCGGTCCGGCGGCGGATTGCATGGCCGGGCGGGCCTCCGGGAGGCAGGCGGGGCCGCGACGGGCGGTAGGCAGAAAATCCCATTCGGTGAGCGTGTAGCGCGACCCGGTTCCTACTTTCAATGATAGGTAGGTAAGGTAAGGTAAACTTCTCCACACACACGAGGTGGTGGGGCAAGGGGGGGCAACCCTCGCGTATATCTCCACGTCTAACGACAGGAGCCCCACGGCATTCAAAGTGCAAGGCCCGTTGCGCGTGGGTGAGCGGTGTGTGTGTGTGTGTGTGTGTGTGTGTGTGTGTGTGTGTGTGTGTGTGTGTGTGTGTGTGTGTGTGTGTGTGTGTGTGAGTGTGTGTGTGTGTCAATGATAGGGATAAGGGATTGATGTCAGGCCAAGAATTTCATCGCACGCCGCTCTCTCCGCATGCTAGCGCACGGGTATCATGATGACAAAGATATCAGCTTTTAGAGAGTGAAGCAAGAGACAGTCTGCCCAGTGGGTGACTCGGCCAGCCGAATGAAAGACTACTCGCCCTCCTCTGCTGCCCTCTAGCATTCTCACTCGTCCGAGTTGCTGCCCGAATCACTGTCCTCCCCGCCGCTGCTATCCTCTCCGTCAGAGGAAGTAGGCGTCGGCGGCCGGCTCGCCCACACCTCGATCTTCTTGGGCAGCAGCTGGTCTGACAGGTCCTCTCCGTGGCCTAGGCAGCCGCCCTCGCCCTTGCCCCACGTGAAGACGGCGCCGTCGGCGATGGCGATGCTGTGGAATGGTCCAGCCGACACAGCGACGACGCGCTGGCCAGCGAAGGCCTCGACCTTGTTCGGCAGCAGCTGGTTCTGCTCGTCGCCGTGGCCCAACATGCCATTGGCTCCCCAGCCCCAGCTCCAGACAGCACCGGCGGCGGTGAGGGCGAGGCTGTTGTTCAGCCCAGCCGACAGAGCGACGACGCGCCGATCAGTAAAGGCCTCGATCTTCTTGGGCAGCAGCTGCCGCTGCTCGTCACCGTGGCCCAGCTGGCCATAGTCTCCCCAGCCCCAGCTCCAGACGGCGCCGTCGGCGGTGAGGGCGAGGCTGTGAAGGCCTCCAGCCGACACAGCGACGACGCGCCGCCCCGCCAAGGCCTCGACCTTCGTCGGCAGCAGCTGGCGCTGCTCGTCGCCTTGGCCCAACCGGCCAAGGCGTCCATCGCCCCAGCTCCAGACGGCGCCGTCGGAGGTGATGGCAAGGCTGTAGCTGCCTCCAGCCGACACGGCGACGACGCGCTGGCCATCAAAAGCCTCGACCTTCTTTGGCAGCAGCTGAGGCTGCTGGTCGCCGTGGCCCAGCTCGCCAAAGACTCCCCGGCCCCAGCTCCAAAGGCTGCCGTCGGCGGTGATGGCGAGACTGTGGCTGCCTCCTGCCGACACGGCGACAACGCGCTGCCCAGCCAACGCCTCGATCTTCTCGGGCAGCAGCTGGTTCTGCTTGTCTCCGTGGCCCAACTGGCCATTCCCTCCATAGCCCCAGCTCCAGACACAGCCATCAACGGTGAGGGCGAGGCTGTGGCCAGAGCCAGCCGACACGCTAACGGCCAGCGGAGAAGGGAGGCGGGTCGGCGTGTTGAGCCGCGCCACGCCCTCGCCATGGCCAAGCAGGACTGGGGACGGCGCAGAGCCGCACGACGAGAGCCGCCCCTCGCCGACGATGAAGACGCTGTGCCGTTGGCCTGCCACCGCCCTCGCTGGCGGGTTGGACTCGCACAGCAGCGCCGAATAGCACAGCCACCGCACGGCGCAGCTCTCGCCCTCTGGCTGCGCCGGCAGTTCGAAGCCGCGCTCTCGCGCCCACAAGCGGATGCCCTCCACCGCAAGCGAGGCGTGGAAGAGGAGCGAGACGGCCGCGAAGCGAGCGATGTCGGCGGGGTCGCAGCGAGAGACGACGCGCACGAGGAGGTCGGTGGGGAGGTCGAGGAGGCGGGCGGGCGGGGGCGTGTCTGGCGAGGGAGCGGCGGTGGCGAGGCGGCGCGAGCGGCGGCGCGTCGGGGTGGACATCGTGAGAAAAAGAATTTTTAAACGCAGGACTCTCACAGCAGACAGGCTCGACACAGGTGCGAACTGGCGCGTGCTAGTACTATCACAGGCAGAGAAAAGAATTTTACGCGCTTCGCTCTCGAGAAAAATCTCAAGAACAATTTCAAAAGAGAATTTACATCCCCCCAAAAAGAAGTTGTGGTTCTCCCACCCCTCCCTTGGGTTGTCTGTTTTCTTTCTTTCTTTCTTTGGCTTCTACAAAGTTACCGCCCGACAGCACCACCGCGTCGGGCGCGGCAAACGAGAAGCAGTACATGAACATGAGCCAGAGCAGGCAAAACTCGAGCGCGCGATGGTCCAAGACTTGCGGACGAGCTCGCACTCCCAAGCCAGAGCCGGCCCGAAGGGTTTGTTTTTAGGTAAGAGGTAAGCTGCGGTCCGAGGGCGATGCCAGAGTCTGCCGCCGAGTCGGCTCTCTGGATGACGGGAAGACGCACACACGCCTCTATCCACTCGCACGCACTCCACTCAGAACACCGACCGCAGACTTGGAAAGTGACAAGTGCGCGTGTGCGAGTGAGTGAGTATTCTTGATACGTACGAAACCACGACGACACACACCAGTCGACTCGCATCGGTTGCCTCCATGAACGGCGGAGCTATTCTCGCGTCCACACCACACCTGGCTCCAACGTGGACACGCCCATAGCTGGGGACACTACTAGGTCACGCATGGCATCAGAAGTTTCATCTCTGGGCCCCGAAAGGCATCTCTAGCAGCGTCGTTACGCATGCGCCCTCCCCTCCTGAGCGCATGCGCCTCACATCTCGACAGAGCATAAGCCCTTGGCGTGTGACGAGACGAGTTCTTCGCCATCGCAGCGAGCAGCAACCCACTCGCCGCACCAGCCGGAGGCATCGCCGCAGCACCAGCCGCGCCGCGGTCCCGCACCCGTCGACGAAGCTCCCCCCCGGAAGACCACGCGTAGCGACGCCTTGTCATTCGAGATGAGCGCGCTTGAAGCTCGCCCACACACACACACACACACACACACACACACACAAGCGCGCGCGCAAGAGAACTTTCGAGTTTTGTTTTATCGAAAGCCCACTGGCAGAGCTGTACCCCCCAGGATCGACGCGCGGGGCATGCAGAAAATCCACGCCGTTGCAACTGCCATGTCGTGCCGCCGGTGCCGCTTCTTCTCCGAAATTTTGCTCAACCTGTTTGTCGACAAAGTTGTGCCCGAGCTCCTGCTGCTCGACTGCGCGGCGGAACCGGCCCCTCGAGGCTGAGGTGTGATGCGCCAGCACCGGGGCTACAGCGCGGGACTATTCCCGGGCCGTCTCGGGCAAGTTCAAAATCTGGTGTTTCATGACCTCGACATCCTGCTGCACACTTTGACCTCAACCCGCGGCCCGCTGCGCGGCTCTCCGGCGCGAGAGGAGTCGTCTACGAGGCGGCGGCGAGCGCAGGCGGCGGCGGCGCGGCGGCGCGGCGGCGGATCGCGGCGCTGACAACGGCAGCAATCTGCGGCAGGCTGCTGCTTGCTGCTGCAGCAGCTGCTGCTGCTGCGGCTGCTCCGCTGCTGCGGATTGTGGATACGGCTTCTCCGATCACCCCGCCCGCCCGCCCCGCCCCACCCGCCCGCCTCTCGCCGCTTGCCCGCCCGCCCGCCCGCCCGCCCGACCACCCATTCCCATCACCATCTCACATACCTTCATATAGGTTCCTAGGCGCTCGAGACCTCCTCTCGCTGCCTACTCGCTGCCGCGAGGGAGGGGGGGAAGACGTCAGGCAGCTCTGACTCCTGTGATGAGCGCTTGAACGGAGGCCCCTCCCCGAAAGGGCAAGTATTAGCCACACGAAACCCGAGACCCCTCCCCCCCGCCCCGACCCCCCCACCCCCTTGCTCCCCTCCCCCCCCTCGGGAGGGCCGAAGAGAGGCGCCCGTGGGGACCCCGCAACTCCCTTCCCCCCTCGGAGGGGGCCGGACGAGGCGTACCCCGAGGGCCCCACTCTTTCCTTCGCATAGCGGCCACTCTTCGGATCGCTGGTCGAGCGACCCGGGGGATGCCCCGCGCGCCTGACCCAGGCGCGAAAACGAATCTGCGAGGCGTGGCCGCTCATGCGGCCCGATGGGGAGGAGCGGGGCGGACTACGGGGATCGGCTTCTTACACAGCCCTTCCCTGCAGCGAGCCCCCCTCCAACCCACCCGCGCTAGGTCCCGGGGGACGCAGGGGTCACACCCGACGACCTCGGGAACTAGCCGGGGCAGTCGGAGAAGGGGCAACTCCGTGCACTGACGGTCGGCCGTCAGAAAACACGCCTCTGTGGCTCGGGTTACACCAATCCTCGCTACCCAACGCGGCCAAAGGATATCCACCTCGAGAACCTCGAGTACCCCCCAGTACCTAGGTAGAGTGTGTATCGCGCGCCTTGCGGGGGGGGGGGGGGCGGAAAAGAGGAACCTCTTAGCGTCATCGCCATGGTGCTGCAAGCAGCGCCGGGCAACGACGGCTTACCGCCTCCCGGTCCCCCTCGGCATACCTCCGCTGCTTAATGTTTGGCGACTCGAACCCGTGAAGCTTCCCCGTGCGCGGGTTACCCCTCACACGAGTCAGCCTGCCAGCACGTATAAGCACTTGAGCACTTGAGCACTGGGATACATAGGGTCGATTCCGCGTGGTACGGGACCCCTCGATCGTCTCGCCCTCCCTCACTGGTATGTTCATTGGGGGGGGGGGGGGGTCATAACAAACACGGTACAGGATCGAGGTGCACGCTGCCGAGGCAGTGTCGTCCCCCCTCCGTCCTTCCTCGACGGTGATTGATGGCGGTGTGACCGATCGAGCTACAAGAGGAACTTGTTCAGCAGGAGGATATCGCAGGTCGCACCTCATATTCACTGTTTGCAACCTCGCCGTGTAAATATTTGAATATCTTGGTGACACGTGTGTTACAGACAGGGGCTGGGACCCACCCATGCATGGGGCCCCAAACAAATGACGTGTGCGTGAGTGGTAGAGTTGTTTTTGTTGTCCCGAGGGGTGACGTCGAGTGAGGATGTAGTCGTGTCCTGGGCGGGCACCCATGAAAGCGACGGCCATTGTACTTGTTCATCATTCTCAACCCATTTTGCCTCATGGAGCACCGAACCCCGGTGCGAAACGAGTTTTTTGATGGGTCGCACGCAGTCTCACATGTGAGCGCTTTAGAGCTCTACATCCGCCGCTAGAGGCGCTCTACAACGTGGAATATATACAACAAACCTACATCACCAGCCTGCCGATGGCCGACCCGGACGCCGACGATTCCTTTTCGGACATCGTCACCCGCTCGCTCGTCAGCGTCGGAGTCTGCGTCGTGCTGAGCTGGCAGGTGATCGAGTCTGCGGGCTTCCGCCGCTCGCTTGGGCAGCGGTTTGGCGGCTCGCCGCTGCAGTGGTTCCTCATTGCGCTCATGGCTCTCGCCGCGCTGGAAGGCGTTCTCGCCACGGTCGCGGACGTGATGCTGCTGGCCCGCGCGGACGCGGCGGTCGCCGATTCCTCCTCGCGCCTGCGGGCGCTCAAAGCGGAGGTGAGCCTCGCGCTCGCCGTCGGTCGGGTCGACCAGGCGGTGGTCGCGCTGCTTATCCTCGGCCTCGGCATCGCGGGCACTCTCACTGGCGTGGCGGACGCGCCGGTGGCGCTGGTGCTCGGCGGCGCCGCGCTGCTCCTCGGCAGCTGGTTGCCCGCACCGCTCGTGCTCGTGGTTGGCGTGTGGCGGCTGCAGCGGCGGACCTCGGGGTGGAGGCTGCGCTGCGCGCTGCGTCCCCTCCTCGTGCTTGCGTGCCTCGAGGCGCTGTACGCCTGGTTCCCGGTGCGCGCCTTTGAGGACTCGCTTGCCGAGGCGAGGCGCGAGGAGGGCGAGGTGCTCTCCGAGCTCGTGCGCGCCAACCTGGTCGACGACACGATGGCGAACGACACCCTCGCGCTGATCGACTCGATGCGGCCGGCGGTGCTCCTCGAGGTTGCGCAGCAGGGGCTCGGCGACCTCGTCCTCTTCGGCACAACCCTCGCGCTGAGCCTGAGCGCGAGGTCGCGCGGCGTGCGGCGCGCGCTGCTGCCCGCCGGCGCGGCGCTTGCGCCCGGCCTGCCCTCCTCCTTCGCCGTTGTCTTTGTGTTTCTGCTGGAGACGCGAGAGGCCCAGGCCGGCGCCCTCACTCTCTTGCCGCTGCACGACACGCCGCTCCGCGCTGGGGCGGAGGAGCGCGTGCAGCGTCCGGATGGAACGTGAGCGGGGTGCGTGTCTCTTGTGCACCCTCAACTGAATGCATGTGAAGGTACACAGCCAATCGCATTATAGAGTTTACAATAGAGAATATGCACCCGCACGACACCACTTGCACAATGGCTCTCGCCCGGGCGTCCGGAAAAAAGAAAATGGTACCCCCCGCCGGCCCCCGGTTCTCCAACGTTTGCTCGGGTTGGCTTGGACTCTCGAAGCCACACCTGCTTACGCATGATCTCGACGTCGACGTGGCCTCGAGCGCACGCGTGGCCCAAAGCCGGCCTCATCGCCCTCGTTAGTTTCGTCGCTCTTGCCGTGACCGCTCGTGCTGTGGCTCGCGCGTCGGTCGTAAGCGATGCTGCACCGCTCACCAGCGCGTGGTCTGAGTTGCGCTTTGCCGATGCTAGCGCGTGGACGAAAAGGCCGGCCTTCGACTCGAACTGCGAGGCTCAGTGGACGTTGACCACACTCGCGGGCGTCTCGACCGGCTTCATCAATAAGGCCATCGGCTCGATGCAGTACCCGCTGCACGTGCATGATGTGCTGCCCGCCGGGAAACAGCTCGAGGTGCGGTCCGCACTCGGCCAGCGAATCGCGCTGACCAACGTCTCCGTGCTCGATCTCAACCCGGCGACGATCCAGCTCGGCGTCTGCCGCGACGACCTCGAGTGGCTGCAGAGGCAGAGCTTTGCGCGCCAGGCGTTTGAGCGCTCGACCCGTCCGAACGACGGGCTGCAGATCCTGGTGTCGGAGATCGTCACACACGTCCAGGTCAAGTTCCAGGTCGTCCAGACCATGGGCGCGCTCTAGCAGCAGCGCCGCACACGTGGCAGCACCACTCACTGTTCCGTCCCTCCGCTCCGCCTCCCTCTGAACTGTATCGTTGTCGTCTCTCTAGCCCCTCCCTCTCCAGACCTACGCAATCCCCCGCGCTGCAGGCTCCTTCATCCCCGACGTCTTCCTCGGCTGGGGCACCGCCAACGTGACCGTGCGCGGCGTGCTCGACATGCACGAATCCGCCCCCAGACCTACTCCGCCGTCGGACACGTCCATGACGCGTCCTCACGGCCGCGTCGCAGGCACGTCGACTTGCGGCACATCGAGGCGGCCGCGCTCGGGCAGGTGCGAGCCTGCACCTCGCGAGGGGGAGGAGGTGTGAACAGCGTCTCTTCACACCTCCAGCTGTGAACAGTGCCGCGGAAAGTTCGACGTCGAGTCGATCTCGATCGCTGCCGACGGCATCAGCGCCGGCTTGCTCAACGCGCCGATCCGCCAGGTCGCGGATCTGCTCGTCGGGGAGATGGGCCACATCATCTGCTACGGCGACTCGGTAGCCCGCTGCCACGCCCCCCGCCCAACTCGCCACGCCCCCGCCCAACCTGCCGAGGAGAGGTGCCGTTCACGGCCTCGCGCGCGGTGCGATCAGGTTGCGGCGGTCGCCGTGTACAACAGCGAGACGTCGCACCTCACGAAGCTGCGCGGCGTGGTCCAGCTGCTCAACGCGGAGATCAGCGCGCGCGCCACGTTGGTCAACGTCCTCCTCTGGCCTTTTGGCGCCAGCTCCTCGGCAAGGCCCTCTGGCACGTGACGTGCACCACCTTGACCTGTCCGCGTGTGTGCTGTACCATTAGGCGCCTCTCCGTTCCCGCGCGAAGTGGATCCGAACTTGGCGGCCGTCGAGCGCGCGCGCGCCGACATCGCAAAGCTGAAGGAGGTCGGGATAGAGGCGGAGCTGGGCGAGGGGCGGTTCGACCACATACGCGACGAGAACGGCGATGGAGTCTACCACGTTTGGGCGGGCGCGGATGGCGGCGGAGGGAAGTACGTGAACGGGATCTACCAGCCGAACCACATGGAGAACGACGGGATCGTCTCGATGCTCGCCACCGAGACGCTGGAGGAGCGCGCCCGCGGGAACTCGGCCAATGTGGACGCAGTGGCAGAGTAAAAGTTAGAGAGACGCGGACTCTTTTGAGGGGAGCTGGATCTTTATTTTCTTTGCTCATTGCACATTGGTTAAACCCGGGGGAACTCGGCGGAACCTCTGCCCTACTCAGTACCTCGAAACACGGCGGTATCGGACACACAGCCTGAATCACAGCAGCAACCTCGTGCTGTGTCGTGGGGGCGTGTTGAGTATATGAGCGACCCACCGCGAGGGTTGCTCCTGACTCTGGCCTTTTCTGGGTCACGTAGCCACACCTCGCCTCCTTGGTGCGAGTGGCTGCCAGTTCGACTCTGGGGAGGATCGAACCGTCAACAGGTACGGTTAAGTGTCAAAGATGTCCCATCGGGGCGAGGAGCGTCGCTGGCGTGATGATCAACAGCGCGCCGAGAACGGACGCGAAGAGCGGCGATGGCGGGGCGAGCCGCGACGGCGGTCGCGATCGCGCGATGAGCCGCGGCGGGATGAGCTGCGACGGCGCAACGAGCGTTGGCAAGGCGAGCCACACACTGACGGGCGGCATGACGAGCGGCGCGGCTACAACGCCTCTTGGTGCAGTGGCCGCGAGCAGCGATGGCACGCTGAGCCACACGCAGCTGAGCGCTGGCGCGACGAGCCATTGCGAGGCGAGCGACGGCCGCATCATGACGGGCGGCACGTTGAGCGGCGCGGCTGCAACGACCGACCAAGCATAGGCGAGCGCGAGCGCGACTTGTACGATCGGCGCGATGATCGGTCCCACGATCCCAGGCGCGACCATGACCGGCGCGACCGCCGCGGCGAGGGGCAGCCTCAGCACAGCGACCGCCGGTTGAGTCCGCCGATGCGTGGTGCGGGATCGCGCGACGAGAGGCACACCTCTGCTGCCGGAGGTCAGCTCGATGCTAAGCAGCTCAGCGGCCGTATCTCGCATGCCAGCGGCGCCGACGAGCTGCTCAGGCTCTTTGCTGCCCACAGCGCGAACTTGAACCACATCCACGCTGCGAACCTGTGGAACAAACTGGGCAAGCAGCGCATCGAGCGGCGGCACGAGGGGCGGCTTGAGCAGCTGGTGCAGCGCACGCTCGACCTGGTTTCTTCGTGCCGAGCACGCGAGCTGGCCAACGTGTCTCACGGCGTTGCAAGGTGCGGCCTGAGGCCGCCGGGGAGGCCGCCGGGGAAGGGCAAGCCGCCCGCGTCGGCGGCGAGGAACGGGTTCGGCCGCACCAGGTGGGTGGACATGAGCATCGCGAGGACAGCAGTTCACCTTCGGGTTCGGACGTCAGAGCTACAAACACTGAAAAAGAAACCGCGCCTTATTACCTGCCCCAATCGAAGGAGGCGCCCCCGGCTGAGCACGCCCCCCAGCATCCTTGCGGTCACAATGATCGCGCAACCCGTTCCGACCGAGGCCGACGGGTCGGCCCCGCGCCACTCGCGCGCCTCGGGCGTGCGGCGCCTCGCGCCGGTCCTCGCCCTCCTCGCCGGTGCAGGGGCCTTTGCGTACTATGGCACGGGCGCCACCGCGCCATCGCCGTCCGACATCAAGCTGGCGATTGGCAAGCCCTTTGTGCAGGGCATCATCGCGCTGTTCGAGCTCAAGGTGGACCAGATCACCCTGCAGAAGCCCGAGTCCCAGTGGTCGCACTTTGCCCTCGACCTCATTGCCTTTGACCTAAAGATGGACATCCACATGGAGCTGCTCTTCTTCGGCGCGCAGGCGACGCTCGCGTCGGCGGAGATCGACCTCATGTTCCGCGGGGAGCGGTTCGGCACTCTCTCCACGCTCCCCTGCCCGCTCGGCGGCGGCGGTAAGATCAAGACGCAGATGGCCGGCCGGCTGGTTGTTGATGACGTGGCCGTCTTCCAGAAGATTGCGCGCGCCGTCGTGCACGAGGACGAGTTCACCGTCGAGCTGTACTCGACGCTGGCGGTCGAGCTGCGCGGCTCCGACAACGGGTGCCTCCTCAGGAGCGAGATGTGCAAGACGGTCGGCTCGGCGCGCATCCCCGGCGTCACGTTTGCAAAGTCGGTCACGCTCAGGGGCGCGCAGGGCTTTGCGGTGGACATGCGCCCGCTGCAGCTGACGGACCTGCCGTCGTTCGAGCCGGCCGGCAAGGCGCTCATCTCGCTCGAGGCTCGCGTCTACAACCCCTCCACCTTTGTCTTCCGCGACCTCGACGTCTTCTCGATCGACGTGTACACGGACGACTCGTGGCCAAAGACGGAGAAGCCGGCTGCCGACTCGCTCGGCGTAGAGATCGCGAACTCCGCACCTCGGACGTCGTTGAGGGGCCGCTGCACGGCTCGAAACGGGTCCCGAGCATACCCGCTGTGTTCGAGGATCTCACGTACCAGGACCGAAAGGGCGAGCACCACCGACTGGAGGGCTCGCTCCTCGACACTGGTGCCGGAGTCACGGTCGTCGACGAGGCCACCGCAGATCGCATGTGCAAAGCGGGCGCCGCGGTGATCGACCGGTCGAGCACCGGAATCACGCTCTCGGGCGTCGGCTCGCGGAGAGTCGTGGGCACGCTGCGCATGCGAATCGCCATCGCAGCGACTCACCTGGAGAGTGGGCGAACGACGCGATTGCGCTATGAGCATGTCGGCCTCGTGGCGGAGGGAGACGACCAAATTCGCATCTTTGGCAACGACTTTTCCTACACTCACGTGAAGGATGTAGCGTTGGGTGAGCATCACGCCATCCTACGGCACGGCGGCGAGTTGCACCGGGCCAACATCGTCACGGACGTCAAGCTCAAACGCATGTACGAATGCGCTGCCGAGGAGGGGAGGATGGGCGGTCGGCGTCGGAGTAGCAGGCTGCAGGGCGTACGGGGTAGCCGTCACTTTCCTGCCTCACAAGGGCGGGGCTGTCCCGGAAAGTGAGAAACGCCGGGCAGCGTGGCGCATTACTGAACCCTCCCATACGTGCTTGTGCTTCCTCCTTCGCTGTCCCATCTCCTCATCTCTTTCCCGCCTGGGCGGGGCGGTGGGCGGGCGCGCGGTGCGGCGTGGCGTGTGCGTGTGTGCGACTGCAACGGAGGACCGCTCGCAGAGGACCATTGGGTTTGTACTATTAACAACGAAGGCGCTCTCAAAAAGAAGAAAATAGCCTGCGTCTGTGAGGCGCCGACGAAACTTGAACCCACCCGGTCTTTGTACCATCGCGCATCGGAAGCTGCTACATGAGTTCGCCGTCGATCCCACTGCCCTTCACTGGCGGGCTGCCGAACCGCACCTCGGAGAGCACGACGCAGCCCACCGACACCGCCTCCTCCGACGTCTCCTCCGTCATGAAGGGCGTCGCCGCGCTGCACCGACAGCTCAGCGGCGGGGATGAGAGTGTTCCGATGCCGTTCGCTCCCAGCCAGCCCTACCGCCACTCCGCTGAGCAATGCGCCAAGTAGAGCGCTCGTCGTCGCGCCGTGCGCGGCGCGCGCAAAGCCCGAGCACAACGAGACCAAAGCTGCTGTCGATTAGCGCGGCGATGCGCCGCCGGGGGAGTCTTGTTGGGTGTGCAATCTTTGGTGCGTAGCTACCGTCGGGTACTTATTTTAAGACCAGGTAAACAGCAATAGATCCGGGTGTAGTGCCGGATCAGTTCCTGGAGCCAGGGGGACCGATTTGCACTTGCCAAGGGACCAATTGCTAAACCCACCCGGGCGGGGGCCGGGGGGGGGGAGGGGGTACAGGGGGCCGCCCCACAGACCCGTTGCCACGCGCACCAGGTGAGAGGTTCCGCCAAACGCGCACGTTCGGCACAGCAGATACATCACACTGGCGGGATGCAAGGGTACACTCAACACCTACCCGACAGTACATTCCATGCCAGAACCTTCATGATGGAGGACCGATTCTCGGCAAGTTGGCAGGGCGGGCAGCTGTGAAGGATCGATTGCTGTACAACGAGGGACCGATTCCGTGAGGGCTGGGTACTGATTAGGCCGGGGGCGCGAGCGTGTGTGAGAGAGACACAGAGAGAGCGAGAGCGCGACCACTCCGAGGGGAGGCCGAGAGGAGTTTCAGTTTGCGGGCTTGTCAGCAAGGGTGGCCGAGTCGCCTCCGCGGGACACGTCACACACTTTCGCTGGAGGAGCTGCGATGGATGGAGAGCGTAGCGAAGACACGTAGACGCACTGTACAAGAGGGGCGATCGTACTCCCCCCCGCCCCCGGGGAGAACTCCCGCTGTGACGACCCAACAGCCGCAAACGACGCGGCGCGTTTTCACGCGTGAAGCCAGCCGGCCGGCTATCCGATGAAGGAGAAGACGGAGCTCCCGGTCGGCGGCGGGAGCGCGTCGCTCCTCTCAGCCGAGGATGGGACCAGCCGCTCTGACGAGAGAGAAGGCGGCGTGTCGCTTCGCTCCGCCATCCCCGACCACGGCTCGCCGACCATGCCCATCCCCATCATCGGCTCGGCTGCGGCGAGGAACGGGAAGGCTGATGGCGGAGCAGCGCTCTCGCGCCGTCCGACTGATTGCGGCGGGGCCGTCCGCGACATCGCCGCAGCGACGAGTGACACGACGGGCAGCTCGCGCGCCGCCGCCAGGAGCCGCTCCGCGTGTGGCGTGATCTCCACTCTCGCCTCGAGGTCGATCTCCGCGATCTCGTCGAGCCTAAGGAGAGACGGGGGCGGGAGAGGTCGGGCGGTGGTGGTTGCGGTGGCCGGTGGGGTGGTGGCGGCGGCGGCGTGGGTGGGTGGGGCGAAGCGCGCGTCAGAGCTGCGAGCTGCGGCAGCGACACCACGCCCGCCTCGGCGAAGGTGGGCGCAAGCTCGCTCAGCCGAAGCGACGAGAGCAGCTCGCCCTATATGGGAGTCCGGCGACCAACGGCGTCAGCTCCGTGCCGCGCGTGTCGCTGCCCGCCGAGGAGGGAGGAGCGACCAGCGTCTCGGGCGGCGGAGGCGGCGGCGGTGGCGGCGGCATCGCGAGCACCGGCTGAGCGAGCTCCTCGATGGCAAAGCTCACGGCCGCCTACTCGGGAGGCCGAGCCGCGTGTGCAAGGGGTCAGCGGGGCGGCGGAGTCCTTCTGTCCTGCGGCGAGCGCCGCGCGGAAGCGAGCGTGCTCCTCCGCGGCGAGCCGCGCCGCCGCGCTCCTCTGCGCCTCCGCGTGCTCCTCCGACAGCCGCCGAACCGCTTGCAGCCTCTCGTGCTGCTCCTGCTCGCGCTGCAGCCGCGTCGCCACGGCGGCGCTCCTCCTCCCTCTCGCCTCGGCCGCGACGACGTCAGCCCTCGAGGCCTCGATGCGCGCCGCCGCGAGGCGACGCTCCGCTGCGACGAAGGCGGCCTCTGCCGCAGTCAGCTCGCGCTGCGCCGCCTCGGACTCTCGCTCCGCGAGAGTGGACTCGGCGGCCGCGACGTCGGCCGCGGTTGCCGCGTCCTGTGCCTCGCAGGCGGCCACATCCGCCGCCTCGCGTGCGGTGTCGACAGCGGAGCGCGATGCCGAGCAGCCAGCGTCCAGCTCGCTCAAGAGAGCCGCTCGACGGTCCTCGCTGATCCCCGCCATGAGCTGCTGAGTCACGATGTCGCCGGATTTCAAGAGCGTGGTGTGCGGCTCGCCAGCGCCGGCCGAAGTAGACGCTCCGTCGTCCATGCCGAAGGGCGACGTCATGAAGTCCGTCATCGTTCTCAGGGTTCCAACTTTTTCCGGGGTATGGTATGGTGTCGCCCAAACCGGTAGGGGGTATGGTCCTGCTCGCCCAAGACTAGCCCTACCATACCCCCAAGCAGGTCTGCCAGCAGGAGGTACTTCCAGCCTGCTGTGGGACAGGGAACAGCTGACGCAGTCTCGCCAAGGCTCGGGTTTGACTCGGCCAGACAAAAACCCGAGGGGCGTGGGCGTACAGTTGTACCTCGCCAGGGGGATCCGGCCGCCGAAATCGACGTCGCCGGGCCGCCGCGTTTGGGTTGTCTTCGTCACATGATGTCGTGCGTCGTCGATGGGAAGGCAGCCGTCATGAACTGGCTGAGCACCACGGGCGAGTGGCTCGAAGCCCGGTGCGCCCGGGTCGACAACGTCGAGCCCGAGCCGCAGGAGGAATTGGAAGGCGCCATGCGCGCACATTGCTCCTCTAACCCACCGTGCTTGGCGCTCACCTGCTGCTTTGGCCTATTAGGGGAGTGCGCGAACGACGAGGGCGCTGAGTACAAGGAGCAGCACACCGTCACCAGCCGCGCAGTCGGGCGCCGCCGCTTCGGCCGCCGGCCACCGCGCCGGACCACGGTCGTGGTCGCAGGAGGCCGCCGCCCTTTCCGGCCTATGATGGGCTTCGGGCTGGGGGTTGCCACGGGCGCACTCGTGGCGTCGAGCGTCACACGCAACGAGCGGCGGCGCGCTGAGGAGGAGCGGCGGCTTGCCGAGCAGCAGGCTGCCGCCGCCGCCACCGCCAACTTGCTCGCCGCCAATGCGATCGCCGCCACCGCGTCGGCTGAGCGGGCAGAGGCCGCGGCAAAGGAGGCGGCCGAGCACGCGGATGCTGCTCAGGAGGCGGCCGAGGAGTCAGCCGGGTCGCTCTCTAGCAAGGTGCTCAGCTCTCTCGAATTCTCGCCCCCGCCATCCCCCGCCGTCCCGCCCTCGAGGCCCCGCCCCACGGCTGTACCGGCTTCAGGTGGAGCGGATTTGCCAGGCTCTTGGCATTAAGAAGGGGAAGAACTTGCCCAAAGCTGTCAGCAAGGCGAACATCAAGATGGGATGGGAGGAGGACCCCGGCACGCCTCTGCCCGAGCAGGTTGTCGCTCGCCCGACCTCTCCACGCTGCAGCCCTTCCCGTTACCGTCAGCCCTCTCACGCCTGCACGCTGCAGGTGGATCGGCTTCTGAAAGCGCTCGAGTGATGCGCCAAGTCGACAACCAGCGGGACATCACGGCGTCAGTGGGGCGTCAGCGGGCGACTCGACATTGCCCCGCGCCCCCCTCCATCTCCTTGTGACATCCGTGTGGTGCTCGGCACTGCGGCGACACTGGGTGCGTGGGTGGCTGAGTGGCTCGGGCGCTCGGCATAGTCAGACGATTGTGTAGAAGTAGAACACGGACATACCACACACGCCCGACCCGCAGAAAAGAGCGGTAAAGCGTGCCCCCCTTTCCTGCCCGGAGGGGGGGGGATATTGTTCTTCATCTATCTCTGTATATAACCGACAACCGTGTGTGTGTGCTCGTTTCGCTGGCAGCGCGCGGCGCCGGGCTCGAGGGCTCGACCCTCTCGGCGCCGCCTGTCGTGCCGCGGCTGCCGCGTTGGTCTGTGTCGATGGTCTGTGCATCTCGCAATCCGTTTGCCTTACCTTAACCATACCTCTCGCAATCCGCCCCTGGTGTCGCAATATCACCAGTCGCTCTCGTCGCTCGGCGCGCATCCCCATCCTCGTCCCTCCCTCCTCTCCCTCGCCGCGCCGCCGGTACTCGTCGAATGGAAGCTCCTTTGTGAAGTTGCGGGGACCCTGGAATCCCAGCCTGGATTGTAACACTTCTACCTAGGACGAGAACTAGAGTGATGGTTGGTGCATGGTGGTACTCTCCTGCAAAACCACAGTCCTTCTTGTGACATGGCAGGCCACTCTCAAGCCCTACAAGCATCAGATCACCCATTTGGGGAGGGTTGACATCGTGATTTCCGCGGAAAAGTTCTTTTTCTGAAAATTCCAGCTTGAAGAGAGGGAAAACCCCGACTGGAGGGCCCAGACCTACCCTACCTACCCCGGCATGAGGCCCGCCCAAGCAAGAATATAAACAACACCTGGTCCCTCGCCGAACGCCGATTCTCGCTGGAGAGGGGCTTATTCGTCCCACTCTCGTCGTTGCCGTACGGGGAGGGGGCTAGGGGGCATCGCCTTCCTCCCCCACGCCACGCATGTCAGGCTCGGCCGCCGCGAGGTCTCGCGGCGGCTTGGCTGAGGGTCTCTCTTCGGTTCGCGTATGCCGCAAGAAGGACGCATTACTCAATCTACCTCTCTCACCCTCTACCCCTACTCTACGCGTGCGAGCCGCGTGTGAGTACGGAGGGGCCCATTGCAGAGGTGGGGCGCCCCAGCTCTTCACAACGAACCTGGTCAAGCCACTCGCGGTCGTCCCACCCTCGTTCTCTCCCCTCTGTCGCGTCTTGGAGCACTTGGCCGCGGTTTGCTAACGAAAGCCTGTTGCCGTACCGTAGTGTATATGCCGCCCACGCTCCTCGCCAGCTTTGTCGCTCGCGCCTCCTCCTCCGGCGACGCGGCTGCGCTCGCGGAGCTCGGCCGCGAGGGACTGAGCAGCACGAGCTACGCCTCGCTCTGCGCGACCGTGCGCGGAGCTGCCGCCGCGCTGCAGGCGGCCGGAGTCGTGAGCGGCGAGGCCGTCGTCGACTTTTGCGACGAGGGTCGGGCCATGGTGGTCGCCATGCTCGCCATCACCATGGCGGGCGCGGCGATGGTCCCTCTCGACCCGGCGGCGCCGCCGGCGAGGCTGTCTGCCCTCGTCGCCGACTGCGGCGCTGCGCTGGCGCTTTGCACGCGTGCGCGCCTCGCCAGTCTCGCCAGCGCGCTCGATGGCGGCCGCTGCCAGCCGCTCGCACTCGAGGACGTCCTCGTCCGCGACGCTTCTCTCCCGGCAGCGCCCGCGCCTCCACCGCCCGGCGCCCTCTGCCACCACATCTACACGAGCGGCTCGACCGGGCTGCCAAAGGCGGTCTCGGTGACGCACGGCGCGCTGGCAAGCTACGGCCGCGAGAAGGCCCGCACGCAGCGGGTCGGAGGCGCGTCGCGAGTGCTCGTCGCCTCTGCGCACACCTGGGACCCGGCCGTCGGGGACGTGCCTTCGACCCTCGCGGTCGGCGGGCATCGTGAAGTACTGTGAATTAAGGAGGAGTGGACGACCGAATTAGGTACTCTCGACCCTCGCGGTCGGCGGGTGCGTGTGCGTCGCGCCGCGCGCGCACCTCGTCAACGACTTGGGCCACGCGATCGCCGCGACGCGCCACCCACTCGCGAGCCAGAACCTTCTAGGAACCTTCTAGGAAGCTTCTAGGAAGCCTCTAGGCGCGCCACCCACCTCCTCGCGACCCCTTCCCTGTTGTCGCTGCTCGACACGCCGCCCGCAAGCCTGCCGACGCTCGCCACGCTCGCCGTCGGGGGGGAGCTGTGCCCGCTCCCTCTCCTCGCCCCCTTCGCCGCCGTGGGGTAGTATCATTTGACTATACCGGCATACGTTCGACTAGAGCAGCATCCTTTGACTGAACTAGCACCCTTTGACCATAGGGTGGAGGTGATCAACGTGTACGGCGTCACGGAGGCCGCCGTCTACCAGACGTACGCCACGCTCTCCCACCTCCCGCCCGACCCGGAAGGGACACCGTACTACTTGCGCGGCCGCGCCGCCGCCGCCGGCGCCGGCGTCGCCTTTGCGCCCGCCGGCATCCCCTTTCGTGGCGTCGAGCTCGCGCTCGCCCCGCCCTCCGCCCGTGCAGCGGAGGGGGGTGAGGACGGGCTCGGCTCCGACGACCGGCGCGAGCTCCTCATCGGCGGCGACCAGCTAGGAACCTTCTAGGAACCTTCTAGGAACCCTCTAGGCGCGAGCTCCTCATCGGCGGCGACCAGCTCGCCGTCGGCTACCTCAACCGGCCACGCCTCACCGCGGAAAAGTTCGTCTGGCTGCCGGACGCGGCCGTCGAGCGGCTCCCGCGCTCGTACGGCCGGGCGGCGCCGCCGCACTGCGGAGGGTGCGGAGGGCGAGGCGCGCGCGGCGGTCGAGGAGGGGGAGAGGAAGGCGGCGAGGCGGGCGGCGAGGCGGGCGGGGAGGCGGGCGGCGAGGCGGGCGGCGAGGCGGGCGGCGAGGCGGGCGGGGAGGCGGGCGGGGAGGCGGGCGGGGAGGGGCGTGGCGCGGGGCGTGGCGCGGCGTCGGGCGACGGAGGCCAGCGCTGGTTCCGCACGGGCGACGCCGCCGAGTGGGGGGCGGACGGGCTGCGGATTTGCGGCAGGCTGGACGAGCAGGTCAAGCTGCGCGGGATTCGGATCGAGCTCGGCGAGGTCGAGCACGTCGCGCGCTGCTCTGACCTCGTCACCGCCGCCGCCGCCGCCGTCCGGGGCGACCAGCTCCTGCCACACACGTGGTGCCGCCGACCCGTCCTAGACGGTTCCTGGAGCCTTCCTGGAGCCTTCCTGTAGGCGGCCAGCTCTTGCTGTACGTTGTGCCGTCCGTGCCGCGGGCTGCGTTTGAGGAGGGCGGAGGGGGCGTCGAGGTGCTGCTGACGCTGCGCCGGCGGCTCCCGCCGCAGCTCGTCCCGGCGCAGGTGGTCGCCGTCGCCGCTCTGCCCCTCTCTCCCGGAGGCAAGCTGATGCGGTCGAGGCTGCCGCCGCCGCCGCCGCGCGCCGCGCGTCTCTCGCCCGCCGCGAGAGAGGGGTTCCGCAGCGAGACGGAGAGGCACGTCGCCGCGGCGTGGGCCGCCGCGCTCGGCGCCGCCGTCGGCCCGGGGGACAACTTTTGGCAGCTCGGCGGCACGTCGCTGATCGCCGCGAAGATGCTGCGGCTGCTGCAGGGCTCGCTGGGCGAGGAGCACGGCAGAGACTCGTTTGAGCGCGGCAACCAGCGCTTCGCGACGCGGCTGTGCGGCCTGTACCGCAAGCCGAGGCTGCGCGACTATTGTGTGTGGCTCGACTGGGCGGCGCTTCCTCCGCCGAGCCGTTCGCCGCGCGCCGCCGCCGCCTTCACCGCCTTCACGTCCGGCGCGAGGACGGCGGTCGCGGCAGAGGGGGAGGCTGCTGGCTCCGAGGCGCGGCCGGAGGAGGCGGAGGGGGCGGCGGAGGGGGCGGCGGCAAGGGCGGCGGCGGGGGAGGCGGAGGCGGCGAGGGCCGCCGCGGCGGCAGACGCCGACGAGCTCCTCGCGGCGGGCGAGGAGGAGCTGCCAGAGGAGGAGGACCTGAAGCGGCTCGCGACCGAGGCGCTCGGCGCGGCCGCCGCGACCGGCAGCGCCCGGCTGGTTGCGGCGCTGCTCGCCGCTCGCGCTTCGGCCGACGGCGGCGCCTCTCGCGCCGCGCGGGGCCCGACGCCGCTCATGCGCGCCGTCGGGCGAGAGATAGCCGAGAGACAGCGGAGAGACAGCCGAGAGATAGCCGAGAGACAGAGCCGAGAGATAGCCGAGAGACAGAGCCGAGAGATAGCCGAGAGACAGAGCCGAGAGATAGCCGAGATATGACGCCGCTCGTGCGCGCCGTCGGGCGCGAGAGACGCGTGGCCGCACCGGACCTGCTCGGAAGCTTCTCGGAAGCTTCTCGGAACCTTCCTGCAGGCACGTGGACGTGCTCGCGACGCTCGCTGCAGCGGGCGTGACTGTCCGCCTCTCCAGCCACTCGCACGCGAGCGCGGCACACCTCGCCGCCGCTGGCGGCCACGCTGCCTCGCTGCGGCTGCTGCTGCGGCTCGGCGCGCCGCTGCAGGCGCGCGGCACGTCCGAGCGGACGACGCTGTACCGCCACCCAAAGAGTAGCCGAGACGGGCTGGAGTTAGGCGCGGGACACGTCCAAGTGGACGGTGCTCTATCACGCGGCGTGGGGCGGCCACGCCGAGTGCGTCGCGCTGCTGCTCGACGCGCGAGCGCGCTGCGACGCCTCTGACCGGTGGGGGAGGTCGCCACTCTGCTGAGATATAGCCGAGATATAGCTGAGATAGCCGAGATATAGCCGAGATATAGCCAAGATGGGTCGCCGATCTGCCGAGAGATAGCCGAGATATAGCCGAGATATAGCCGAGATATAGCCGAGATATAGCCGAGATATAGCCGAGATAGGTCGCCGCTCTGCTGGGCGTGCTGCCGCGCGCACGAGCGAGTGGTGGCGCTGCTCCTCGAGGCGGGCGCCAGCCCCGACGGCAACCGCCGGCCGCAGCGGGCGCACAGCGAGCGGTTCGGCCACGTGTACAGCCCGCCGCTCCACCTGGCGCTGCTCGGTGGCGATGCGGACGAGGGGCGAGGGGGCGAGGGGCCTGGGGGCGGGGAGGAGCGGCGGGAGACAGACGAGGCTGTGGCAGCAGAGGCGGCGAGGCAGGCGCCGGGGGAGAGCTCGGCGGGTGGCGCCGCGGCGGACGTGGCGGCAGGTGGGCGGAGGGTGCGGCCGGACGCTCTAGCCGTCGTCAAGTTGCTCCTGGCCGCGCGCGCAGACGCGAATCGGCGCGACCAGCTCGGGCGCACGCCGTTGCGCGTCGCGAGCGCGGCTGGCCTCGCAGAGGCAGTGGTGCTGCTCGAGGCCGCGGGGGCGCGGCGAGACGACGAGCCGCGCGCAGGCTCTGCGCGCCATCGGGAGGAGGCTGCTGTGGCGCCCGAGGCTGCCCCTGCGAGCGGCGCGCCGGCACAGGCTGGCGCCGAGAAGCCGTGGCTCCGCGCGCGCTGCTGGGCGGCGGCGAGTTCGGGTTGGGCTTGGCCACCGGGCGTGGCGCCGCGCGAGGGAGCGACCTCGACCCGAGCGCCTGACAGGTGTGTGTGATGAGATATTTGATGAATACAGGCGCGGCCGGGGCCCCGCGGTGCGCGAACCGCCCGCGGCGATTCGTATTTCAGTATTCGTCTTGCAGCTGCACACACGGCAAAAAAGCTTGCATTTTGTCTGCAACAGACAACACAAACGCCGCTCTCTCTGTCTCTCTCCGAGTCCGTCAGTCCGACTCCGTCAGCTCGGGGGAGTCGTCAGAGTGTAGCGTTTGTGTACGGCTCTTTAGGCTGTAGCGACGGACGCGGTGTATATGGTGCAGTTCCATTTCACTGTGGCACAGCTCGCGTTACACAATCTTGATTTTGGTCATTTGCGCCAATTCGTACCTCTCGGTGCCTTCCAGAGGCAGCCGCGACCCCGCCGAGTGGACGGTTGCACACAGCAGGTGGCGCGGTGTGCAACCGTCCGCCACACTCGTCGGGGTCGCAGCTGCCTCCGTGCGCGTCCTGGGGAGGTACAAAATTGTCGCCGCCGGAGACGACTCGACGCCGCTGAGATCGGAGATCAAGCTCTGACAGGTCGCACGTCGCTCCTTTGACGCCGACGTGACTCGCCCGTGCAGAGCACATCAGTACATGGTTTCGACGCGCTCGGTACGACGCCTGCGACCCGTCTCGGGTCAGGTGGCACGACGCTCATCGCGCCTGCCAGCGCTGCCGTGCAGGCTGCCACGACGAGGTCGAGCACGCTTCTATACGCTCGCCCAGCCTTCCTTTCCATCCCATTAGGCAGCCTGGGAACGGTGGCGGTCAGAGGCAAAGCCTGCGAGGGGTGGTGGAACCACATGTCACGGCTACTGCCGGCTCGACCCCACGATAGCCTCCGAAGGCTGACTTTGAGGCACAATCATCGTACGATGTGGACGAGTTGGGTCGCTCTCGCGGTAGCCAGATGACCTCTCATACTAGTATATCATCGACCATGGCCGCAGGGAGCGCGGGGGATGGCGCAGGGAGCAACACGGAGCTCCGTTGGACGTTTTCAAGATTAGCGCGTGTCAGAGTGAAATGGAACTAGCCGAAACTCTCTACGGTCTACGGATCTGGATGCCGAGTTTGAGCGGCTCGTCGGAGGTGGGTTTGACGATTTGGGTGATACGCGAGGCCTGGGTGGCGAGAATGAATTCAATAAAAGCCATACCGATACCCACCATACCGTCCATAATCGTCGTCAGACTCGTACCCGTCGCGACAGTCCCAACACATGGGCTTGGAGCCGCAGTACGACGCTGGCGGCGAGTACGGGCGGCCGCAGTCGTAGCACCGGGACGTGTGCGAGCTGTATGCGCCTCGTCCGCGCCGATACGCCGCCTCAAAAGCGCGATCGCGTTCCTCCTCCGCGCACTCCTCGCACAGCTCCTCTCCGTACTCGCAGTATTCGCCGCACCGGGTGCAGAAGCACTCGTCGTCGCTGTACTCACCGCGGCTGCTGCCACCGCTGCTGCCGCCGCTTGGTCTGGTGCTGGGTCCGCCACCGCCGCCAGTGCCAGAGGCTTGTGCGCTCAGGGCCTCGTAGGCCACCTGCAGCCGCTTGAACGCCGCCTCCGCCTGGCGCGCCTGGTTCTTGTCGGGATGGAGTAGTAGCGCGAGCTTCCGGTACGCGGCGCGCACCGCGTCCGCGCTGGCCGCCTGCGTCGCGCTGAGCTGCAGCACCGCGGCGTTCTCCCTGGGCCCCAGCTTCAGCACGCGCGCCGCCGCCTCGGCCATCGGCGTCCCCGCGCCGAACTTGCGCAGGTGCGCGGCGAGCTGCGCCGCGGCCTCGTTGCCCTCGTGCAGCCGCAGGCTCTTCTCGCAGAAGCGCAGCGCGGCCGCGTCGTCGCCCGCCTCGTGCCGCTTCCGCGCCTTGTCGAGCCATTCCTCCGCCGCCTGCCGGTTGGTCTCGGAGCAGATCGCGGGCGACGGCGCCGCCTCGCGGGGCGTCGCGTCGGCGGGTGGAGGGGGTGGCGCGGCAGCAGCCTCTGCCGGCTGCTGCGCCGCCGTCTCTGTCGCGTTTGCCGCCTCCGCTGTCGGTGCCTCTGCTGCGGCACCCGTCGCCTTCGCCTCCGCCGCAGCTGGTCCAGCCGCTGCGGGTGCAGGCGCCGCGCGCGCGGGCCGGCGGAACCGCTTCGGCTTCCACGCTCCTCGCGAAAAGGGTTGTTTGACGGTCTCCGCCTCCTGGACGAGCTTGCAGCTGATTCTAAAGCCGTAGCCATAGTTAACGCCAGGAAAGGACAGCTCGAAGTCATGCATCTGCAGCTGTGCCTCCTTGGCGTTCGCTGGGTCAGCGTACACGATGTTGGCCATGTTGGCCAGCCGGTAGTTCATCATCTTGCTCGTTGGGTCCTTCATCAGCGTTACCTGCAGTAGCTCGCCAAACGGCGAGAACTTCGCACGCACCTGCATCGCGCTGACGTCCGGGTGTAGCCCAGAGACCCTCAGCTGCCACTGGGTCGGCACAGGCGGCCGCTGCGCAGTCGGCTCAGCACCGAAGACAAATGTCGTCTTTGGAGGTGCAAACTCAACCGTCTGCCCAGTCGCAGCGCTCTTCGCTTCGACCGACAGACCCTCGAACCCGGCGGCCATCACCGAGTCCGGGCTGCAGGGCTCGGACGCATCGGAGGAGCGCCGCCTCTCGGCGCTAAGACGGCGGTGCCGCACGCGGTCGCATGCGACACACATGTCCACAAGGAACTCATCCTCGTCGAACTCAATCGGTATGGAGCACTGGCTGCACAGCTCCGAGGGGTGTGGCGCGCTCGATGCCGCCATCGGCGCACGAACAATCGAGGCGCCGCCTTTCTGGCGGGAAATTCTGTGCATGCGGGGTCGTTTGTACAGAATCTTGCCCATGGGTTATGCGAAAAGAATCTTGCGACGCCATACTAGTACTTCCGCGCGCGCGTGGGGCTGGGGGGAGTCGGAGAGGGCCGTGCAGGACGCTGTTGTTGGAGGATGGTACACTGTCGCGTCGTCCTAGCACGGGGGAGTTCGAGGGGGAGTGCCCGTACCCGTGATGTGGACCGCTAGGTGTAACAGCAGCAACGTCAGTAACCTCGGCTCCTGCGCTCCTCGCCGCCTTCCCTGCTCACTGCCCCGGCGCCCACGCCTCGACCTTCTTGGGCAGCAGCTGGTCCGACAGGTCCTCCCCGTGGCCTAGGCAGCCGCCGCCGCCCTCGCCCCACGAGAAGAAGGCGCCGTCGGCGGTGAGGGCGAGGCTGTGGAACGCTCCAGCCGACACAGCGATGACGCGCCGCCCCGCCAAGGCCTCGACCTTCTTGGGCAGCAGCTGGTTCTGCGTGTCGCCGTGGCCCAGCCGGCCCCCGCCTCCATGGCCCCAGCTCCAAATGGCGCCGTCGGCGGTGATGGCGAGGCTGTGGAAGCGTCCAGCCGACACAGCGACGACGTGCTGGTCAGCAAAGGCCTCGACCTTCTTCGGCAGCAGCTGGTCCTGCTCGTCGCCGTGGCCCAGCTTGCCAAAGCCTCCCCCACCCCAGCTCCAGACGCTGCCGTCGGCAGTGAGGGCGAGGCTGTGGAGTGCTCCAGCCGACACAGCGACGACGCGTTGTCCGAAGGCCTCGATCTTCGTGGGCTCCAGCTGGGCCTGCTGGTCGCCGTGGCCCAACTGGCTGAAGAATCCAGAGCCCCAGCTCCAGACGGCGCCGTCGGCGGTGGTGGCGAGGCTGTAGTCATCTCCAGCCGACACAGCGACGACGCGCTGGCCAGCAAAGGCCTCGACCTTCTTCGGCAGCAGCTGGCGCTGTCGGTCGCCGTGGCCGAGCTTGCCAGAGCCTCCCTCGCCCCAGCTCCAGACGCCGCCATCTGCGGTGAGGGCGAAGCTGTGGAAGACTCCCGCCGAGACTGCGACGACGCTCTGGCCCGCAAAGGCCGCAATCTTCGTCGGCTGCCACTGGCCCTGATGGTCGCCGTGGCCCAGCGCGCCCAAGCCTCCCTGGCCCCAGCTCCAAACGGCGCCGCTGCTAGTGAGGGCGAGGCAGTGGAATCCTCCAACCGCCACGCTCACGGCGCGCTCGCCACCCAGCGTGGAAGGGAGGCGGGTCGGCGTGTTGAGCCGCGTCACACCCTCGCCGTGGCCGAGGAGGCCTGGGATGTGATCCGGCGCGCAGCCGCTCGACGAGAGCCGCCCCTCGCCGACGATGAAGACGCTGTGCTGTTGGCCTGCGGCCGCCCTCGCCGGCGGGTTGGACTCGCGCAGCAGCGCGGCGAAACACAGCCACCGCACGGCGCAGCTCTCGCCCTCTGGCTGCGCCGGCAGCTCGAAGCCGCGCTCTTGCGCCCACAAGCGGATGGCCTCCAGCGCCAGCGAGGCGTGGAAGAGGAGCGAGACGGCCGCGACGCGAGCGATGTCGGCGGGGTCGCAGCGAGAGATGGCGCGCACGAGGAGCTCCGTGGGGAGGTCGAGGAGGCGGGCGGGCGGCGGCGTGTCTGGCGAGGGGGCGGCGGTGGCGGCGGGGGCGAGGCGGCGCGAGCGGCGGCGCGGCGGGGTGGACATCGTGAGAAAAAGAAGTTAAACACAGACAGGCTCGACACAGGTGCGAACTGGCGCGTGCTAGTACTACCACAGGCAGAGAAAAGAATTTTACGCGCTTCGCTCTCGAGAACAATTTCAAAAGAGAATTTACATCGGGCCAAAAACTGTCCGCGTGAGCAAGCAGGGCGGGGACACACGATTCCAGAAATGGTTGTGTCCCCGCTCCTCGCTCGCCCGGGCGGAGGGCATGGCCGCGGAGGAGGCGAGTACGCGCTGCCAGGCCTTCCGCAGACAGCCTCTTGGCCAGACTGAGGGTCGGCTTTGTGTGGCGTGGCCCGTGCGCTGCGCTGCACAAAGCTGCGTAAACTGCGGGAGCATCCTGTGCTTCCTTTGGGAAGTGCGCACTTCCTGCAGCTGGTGGAAGGCCGTGCCGCCGCTCGTCTGCTCCGTGGACAGGGCGGGGAGGCGGCACCGCAGCGCCGCAGCGTCCGCTGCACGCCGGTGCAGCACTCTGCTGCCTGGTGGGCAGCATGCTGGTGCTGTGCGCGGTGTTTGCGAGGCGGCTTTGGCGCTGTACTGCCAGCCGAGGCGAGTGGCGCGCGGCACGCGCGGCGCCGCGCGTGGCCCGGATGGCGCCTGAGAGCGCGCTCGATGAGCCAGCCGGCGCGGCGCGAGCGCCGTGCAAGCTGGCACATCGTCTGCATGCTGCCGTCGATTCTCTGGTCGACGGCGGTCAATCTCACGATTGTCGATCAAAACCGGCGGGCTTTGTGACGCCGTTTACGCAATCGTTTTTTGGCCTCGCTTTCTCTTTTGCTTGGTTTTATTTTGTTTTTTCGTTTGCGAAGCGACAGAGGGGGGGGCGGGCGGGCGCTAACTATGGGCAACTACATGTCGAAGGTTCGAGGTCGACTACTCCCCCCCTGGGTTTTTTGGGGGGGGGGGTTCCTTAAAGGACCGGGGGGGCCCCTTTCCCGGGGGGGGGAAGGTCCCCTTTTGACGTAAAAAGGGGGGGCAGGGAAAAGGGCCCCACTCATAAATTCCACTAATTTTTTCCCTGGCCCCCCCCCCCCCTCGGAGGCCGCGGCCTTTCCCCTGGGGGTCCCCCCCTCCGGCCTCCTCCTCCTTGGTCCTTCCCCCCCGGCCGCCGCCTTCCCCGTCACCTCCCTGGCCATCCTTTCCTTCACCGCCTTCCTGGAGGTTCCCCCTCCCTCCCCGCCGGGACCGCCTCCCC